TTTTTTTAAAAAAAAAAAAAAAAAAAAGGTAACTCAGACATTCACCAATTCTTAGAGGTCTTCCTGAGGTTTTTATTACATAAAATAGTCTGAATTGGGGCAAGTCTGAAAACAAGAGTAGTAATCTTGATAAGGCAGATTTTCATTGTTACACTATTTGTAAAGCTTTCCTTAAGGAGTAGACTTTAACATGACCAAGCACAAAAATGAAAAAACAAAGCAAAACAAAACCACAGAGACATGACTGAGCGTTCCAGCGGTCACGAGGGAGTCCCCTGAAACATTTAGCCGGGTCTCTCCAAAGAGCAGACAAAGGTGCATTCTGCCTTGAGAGCACCGGTAACCTGTCCTTCTAAACGTGTCTCTGTGGTGTCTGCTCGGCGCACCTGCCAGCTAGAGGGAGGGAGGAAATGCTTTACTTTTTGCTGCTGGAGGCTGCTCTGCCGCTGGTGGGCCCACGCGGAGCGGGCCTGGGCCAGCCAGTCCTGGACGCCGGGCCTCTGGGTGGCGGCTGGGTCCCCGTCGCTCTCCTCCTTCTCTTGCGCTGTCCCCTGCTTTTAACAAGGCAGAAGTCAAGAGTCATACGACCCACAGGAAAACCCTAACCTTCGAGTGGTCTGTGTAACACCAAAGGGGCTCCATTTGGATGTGAAACCGTATTTTAAAAAATGGTAACGCAAAACTCGTCAAATTTACGGCATTTTCAGGAAGGAAGACAATAAATAGACATTTGAGGGGGGAACTGCCTATTTAGAGGTGGGGGTTTTTAGCGGACCGATATGGTCACCAGCATTATTCTAGGATATTTCCCACAAGAGCACAGTAACTCTAGATCTCGCTGCCTCTACTAACGTCACAGGACCAGACCTCAGTGTCACCTGCTGCCACCCTGGCTTTGAGGAAGGAGAAAGACAACGTGATTATGTATTATCTGGACGGAATGCAACCTGCTAGATCATTCTGATGGAATGTGAAAGGCCCTAAAATCATTCTGCGTCCCAGAACGGAATTAGTTCTGAATGACAGATTTTCCATTCACATACATGTCTATGTCAGGGGATAAATTATGTTTCTTATTTATTTAATCAGTCAATTAATTATTTTTACAGAGAGAGGAAGGGAGAGGGTGAGAGAGAGAAACATCTATGTGAGAGCAAGACATCCGTCCGCTGCCTCCTGCACACCCCCTACTGGGGATCAAGCCAGAAACCTGGGCATGTGCCTGGACTGGGAATCGAACCCGCAACCTTTTTGTGCACGGGGCAGTGCCCAACCATCTGAACCACACTGGCCAGGGCAAATGACACAATTTGAACATAGCTCATTCACTAAGTACTTCTCTTAAGTACCCGAGACACATCGGCCACTGTTCTAGGCACCGGGGGTATTTTGCCCAGAAGGAGCCAGACAGCGTTCCTGCTGGGGGGACAGACAATAAGCGCACATGATGAGGTGAGATAAGAGCTACGAGAACAGGAGACTAGATGACAGCACAGAAACTGAGGGGAAGGGCTTCTGAGGCTGCTCAGAGCAGGCACCCTCAGAGTCAACTGCTCAGAGCGCTGAACAACGGCAAAGATCGAGGGGGAGGCCCTCCAGGCCGGGGAAGAGCTGGAGCAAAGACCTCGGAAGGGAGACCCTTGGCATCTCCCAGAGCGCAGCAGCAGTGAGGACTCAGTGTGGCCGAGCACTGGGGGGCGGGGGGCAGAGACGAGGGGCATTCTGCGGGTCATTTCCATGGAGGAGTGGCCCTGCTGTCTCGCTCTGGAGCTGTCGCTCCTGTCCTTTGGCTCTTTGCTGAATCCGGTCACAGAATGGGATCCAGCCAGGCCAGCTCATCCTGCCTGAGTGCCCACAAAGACCCTTATTTTCAGAATTTCACACTATTTGGATGAAAAAAGGGGGGTTCGAGGGAAAGTTACCTCGCAGGGTGTTCTGATCAGAAATTCCTAAATGGGCCGTTCGGGGTGGGAAGTCATCCCCCAGGCATATCTTTACCCTAAGCAAGCCCCGCCCGTTGTTCCTGCGCATCTAGCTTAACGCACCTTTGGAATAATCCGCGCCCCCTCAGGAGAGCACACAGTCTTACTAACCATCCCATAACCCAGTCCCCGCCTTGCTTTCTCCCACCTCCATATAATCTCCCTTGATCTCAAATGCATCAGAGAAACTGCTGTTCTCCCGAGCACCTGAGATCTCGCTCCCGAGCATATGTCGTCAGTTTGGCTCAAATAAACTCTTCTAAAAATTTTCTACGGGTTTGGACGATTCTTATGTAGATACTATTATTACAGGGCAATAGACGGAATCTGTTTATCCTTCTGGCTTTTCATTAAAATCCTGGGTTTAAATAGTAAAATGTATGAAATAATAAACTTTGGAAAGTCGGTGTCAGTGCTTGAAGGGAAATGAAGAGAAGGAAACGGTGAAACCTACAGGGAATGCGACACGAATCCTCGCCCAGATTCCGGGCCACCTTAGCTCACTGGCGCTTCCTTTCCTTTGACATGATCCAGCTTCCCAGCGAGAGAATGTGGTGCCGTCAGGACAGTGTGGGTGCCACTGGTCTAGAACATGCTACTGGCATTTCCCACGACCTTCAGAATGGACGATTAGTGACACCCAGTTCAGAACACTGCCCCCTCCTCTAGGAAAGCCTCTCACAGAAACAGTGATGTTCCTGAGGGTGGGAGATGTGGGGCAGATGGACACTCTTCCAGGGCTGATGCCCATAAATTTCTACAGGGAACAGATTCTGTCCATCTGGGGGTACCCCATCGACACCCAGAATAAGCTCTGAGACATCCTGGGCCTTCCGGCAAGGATGATGCAGCAGGTCCACGGGCACCTGGAGAGAATGACCCCAAAGAAGGCAGTGAGGAGGCCGAATGCCATCCCCAGGCTGAGCCACTCAGGCTGGAGAGAGAGGGGTCAAGGCCATGCCCAGCTGACCCTCTTGTGCGGGATCCAGTCACCTCTCTGCTCTGCTCTTAGAAAAGGTTTGTTTTCAGGGCTAACGACTCAGGTGGTAACTTCTCGGTTCACCACCACCCCGCCCTCTACACAGGTTACTCCTGTCCAACCGAGAGCTTTTCTTTCTAAAAGTCCTCACGCCAAACGCGCGCTTAGCAAAAGGACACGAGCACTCCTAGGTCCTCAGGAGAGATTAACCGCTTCACACACACAGTTGCAAATTCAGATTCTAAGACAGTCTGGAAAGTCAGTCACATCTGACTAACCGAATCCACAGCTTTAGAGAAAAAGAAATTAGGCGACATCAGAAGCGGAGGCCTGGGTGGCACGTGTTTTCTAGGTGGTTGGGTCGGTTTTTCAGCAAGTGAATTTTTCTCCGACCGATTTAGTCATTTTGAAAGACAACACCTGGACCACAAAGAGGCAAAAGAAAGGATGACACATCGGCTCCGATTTCATTCCCTTTCTCCTTGGGATGGGAAGGCACTGGTGGGGCGCAAAACAATAGCAACTGCTTTCTCTGAGGTGTGAGGGCCGCTGACTCTCCCAGCCGGGAACTAGGAAGCAAGGGACTTCTGTTCCCGGAGTCCCCGGGGGTGCGGCTCCAGGAGCTGTTCATTCTGGAAATACTAGAACAGTACCTTTGTTTGCCAGGAACATTCCTTGGAAGATTGGTGAGGGTTGGAGAATGCTAAGCATTAAGTACACCATTTCTTTATCGAGCACTTCATTATTAACCCGGGGCTAACTCTCTAGAGGCTCCCTGCATGGACAGCAATGTGCAAAATGACCCGAGCGTCTTGCAAAGACAAGAAGACACACAATGCAAGAGATATTATTATGCCCAGTAAGTCTGCTTCTTCACATAGAGAAGGAACCTATCGGGGAGGGGGAACTGAAGGGGTGAGTCACTCAGCGATACACACAGAAGTCCAGTTAGTTAGAGGAATGGCCTCAACAGACGTGGCAGCTTTACAGGTGAGCAGCGCTGAGAAATCATGTGGTTGAGGCCCCACGAGTTAGGCAGCTATTCCACCTCCAGGCTCGCGCCAGCCCCAGCCGAGGGCGCAGCGTCGCTAACCGGCATCTGCATTCGATGGAGGATTTCTTCCCCCCAACAACCATTCGTTAACTTCAGATCAACTCAATTTCCTACACGGAGGGAGATGAACCTTTTCATGGCAATAATCATATACACAGCGCTCCTTTGAGTCCTACAGCTGGAAAAATAATCTCTTCAAAAAGGTTAATGATTTAAAAAAACACATCAAAATTTTACATGCTGGAAACTCATTAGATGAAGGAAATTTATAAGTATTTTAAAAACGAGCAATGACTAATTTCATCACGGTATAACGCTACTGCATTTCCCCACATTTCCCCGCATTTTGTTCGCACAGCAGGATCCTCAGGGAGGCTTACACTCGCAGGCGGAATCGGAACCGGGGCGTGACTCAGTGTGAGGAGTCTGTGGCCCCGGCAGCGCCCGCCAGGCGTGAGCCGCACAGGCGCTGTGAGCGCGCTCGGTGGCCCCGACTAGCCTCAGGTCTAGCCTTGGAGCAGGGATCAGGGGCTCCTTTCCTCGCAAAGAATGTGGTTTGCAAACTGTTATTATTATTATTATACTGTGATTTGAGCACTCACTGTGAGCATTACTTGCCTTAAAATCTTCAGGAGTTTTTAAAGTTCACTACTATTATCGCCCCCATTTTACGGATGAGAAAACTGATCTGTAGGAAAGGGAAGTTTAAGGCTTTCGCCCCAGATTGCTGGTGAGTCCCTGGTGGGGACCAGGCTGGGGAGATGTGAGAACAGCAGTTCCAAAGTGATGGCCTGGAAACCAAGTCTGGCTTCTGGATACTGATTTACTTGGCACTCAAATTATTTTTAAATTTTAGAATTAAATGTTTTAAAATTGGAAGATTTTTAGATATGAATCCAAATTTCCTTTCTCTGGAAGATCTAGCAATGCTGACTTATAAATTCCTTATGACAATAGCTGGAGCCAACAGCCGCTCCTCTGACGGAGCCCCCAGCTTGCCAAGGTCCTGGCGGGACCTGCTTCTCGAGTTCACATTGCCTCCGCAGGCCCTGCGGCATTGGAAGGTGTGCCCAGCCCATTTAATCCCCAATGTGCCTATGTACCAACCAGACTGCCCCTTCCATTCCTGCCTGCCCAGGGGACAGGGCACAGCTGGAGCGTCGTAAACGAGAGCGATCCCAGATATGAAACCAGCGCTTCCAATAGTTTCCGATCATATAACCATACGATTAACAGAGAACTGAGAATATGTAGTTTAGTCTGATACTGGATCCTATCTTCCCCTTCCTGCACAAGATGGTTCCAGCAAGCTCACTTCTTTTTCATCAGTTCTTCCTCTACTGAGTGATTTCCATCTCCATGGAAGCAAGGCATTAGGTGAGGGAGACAGCCTGAGCGTGCGTGACAGAGCCAGGCAGATGTGGGAAGTACACACAGGCGGGGACAGGGACGCAGACACAGACACGCTGAGGCGATGCTGAAGAGGGAAAGTCCACACTGCAGGGCAGTCGTGCTCGGGTTGGGCTTGGGCGAGGAGACAGCACCCTGGGCCTGGTGGTCACCCTGAAGACCCAGCACAGGCAGCCAAAGTCTCAGGAGTCTAGCTCTGCTCAGGTTTCTGGCCCGGGTCTTGGCCACGGGATGAAAGACACATGAGCACACTTGCTCTGTGGGTGTGTGTGGGTGTGTTTATATGTGTGTATGCGTGTGTGCGTCTTCCTGCCTTTGTGTGCGGTTCGGCCTGTGGCTGTCTGTTGTTTACTCTTCTGATCTCCAGATGAAACAAACCCCGCTCTGTGTAGCTCACTCCTTTCCTGTTCTCCTTTCGNCCTGTGGCTGTCTGTTGTTTACTCTTCTGATCTCCAGATGAAACAAACCCCGCTCTGTGTAGCTCACTCCTTTCCTGTTCTTTCANTCTCCAGATGAAACAAACCCCGCTCTGTGTAGCTCACTCCTTTCCTGTTCTCCTTTCGGTGAACTCCCGAGTTACCCGCACTCTGCCTCCCCGGGGCCCTGTATCCCATTTCCACTTTCACTTAGGGTGCCTTCGCCTCCGCTCCTCCAGTGAAACGGCTGCTGTTGAGTTCACGGGAGGCCTGCATGCTGCTAAACCCAGTCGTCAGGTCTCAACCCTCATCTTATTTCACTTACTTTTAACTGGTTTCCAAAAACCAAACTCCCAGTCTTCCTCTACTTCACTGGTTTCTCTTTTTTACTTTTTTTTGTGTGGGCTCCTCCACTTCTTCCAAATTCTTAACACTGGAGCGTCCAGGGCTTGGTCCTAGGACCTTGGTTTTCTCTCTCTCCTTACTCCCTGGGTGATCTCTGAAATCTCATGCTTTTAAGGACCATCTAGAGGCTGATGACTCCAGTCTAGGACTCTCCCCTGAATTTCAACCACTACTTGAACTTGCATGGGCATCTCAAGTGTAACCTGTCCAAAGTTCAACTACTGACCTTACTACTCTTTCTCCCCACAAATCTCTTCCTCAGATAGTTTCACCTTCTCACGCATCTAGAACCTGAGAAGTTCTCATCACTTCTACCTCTACACGATGCCTCTTAACCGGTCTCTCGGCTTTCACCCTGGTCCCTTACAGTGGTTAAAATCTGATCTCATCGTTCCTCTGTTCCCAAATACTCCAGTGGCTTCTCATTTTCCCCAGGGTAAAAGCCAACATTCACACAGCACCTACAATGACACCTTTGCACCCAGGGCCCCCTGTTACCTGTCTGGCCTCATTTGCTTGCTCACTCCACTCCAGTCACATTGGCGTCCCTGAACACAACAAGTATGATCCCTCCTGGAAACCTTTGCACTTGTTCCCCTTTGCTTGGAACTCTCTTTCACGTCCACGTGGTTCACTCCTGTAACCTGAGGAAGGCTTCTTTGGCCACTCTGTTTAAAACTGCAATTCCGCTTAGTCCCACCTTTCCCTATCTATCTGCCTTTTTGGTTATTTCACCTATAGCTCTTATCATGTTCTAACTTAGATAAGAATATCATTGAACTTCATTTATTTTCTGTGCCCCTTCAACCATAATCTTTTAAAGACAGGAATATATAGATGTAGATATAAATACAGATATACAGATACAGGTAGATAGTTGTTTTCCATGCTCCTTCACTCTGTCATGTAGAATAGTAGCTGTCACAGAGTAGTTTCTCAATAAATGTCTACTTAGTTTTTGTCTAGGATAGTAAGGATAATATTTAATTTGTAGAAATTTTAAAAATATAAAATAAAAATACTGAACAATGAAAGTATAAAAGTGGCTTGGGGAGAAATCTGAGTGAAAGTGTTTTAAGGTTCTTATATTGATCTGGAGAGAGATTAAGATAAACTTAGAATTTATTAGCTATGCATGGTAAAAAGTAGAGGGTGAAAAAGCAAAGAAAAGTACTCAACCACTTAAAACAAAGGTTAAAAAGGAGAAAAATAATAGAGCAGGAAAAATAGAAAACAAAAAGTAAGGTGATAAAACTTCAAACAGCAGTAATCACAATAAGTGTAAATGGACTAAACCTACACTTTGAAAGTCAGAGATTTTCTGATTAGATAACATATTTCAAACCAACAAAATATAGCTAAATGTTTTTTTTTAAAAACTAAAACTAAAACACAAGAACACAGTAAAGGTAAAATTAAAGGAAAGTTAAAATATATACAAGCAAATGTTATCCCCCAAAAGCTCTAGTAATATAAAACAAAAATCACTAAAAGGGAATGTTAAGGTCACTATATGATAGTAAAAAGGTTCAAATGACCTGGGATATATGACAAGTCTAAATCTGTGGGTCCTAAATAAAAGTCTAAGTATATATGAAAAGTAGAATGTAGGAAAAATAAAAGAAAAATGTAAAAATGTTGTAACTTTTTTTTTTAATCCTCACTTGAGGATATTTTTTCCATTGCTTTTCAGAGAATGGAAGGGAGAAAGAGAGAGAAGGAGAAACATCGATGTGAGAGAGACACATGGATTGGTTGCCTCCCGACCAGAGTTGGAGCCTGCAATTGAGGTATGTGCCCTTGGTCGGAATCGAACCCAGGACTCTTGAGTCAGAAGGCTGATGCTCTAACCACTGAGAAAAACCACCTAGGGCAAGGATATCTTAATTTATGAACTCTGTTTAAATATTTTTCAAAATTGTGCATTAGCTAGATTTTGGTATTTATTGTTATTTCTTTTCCTACATAGCAACCTTTAGTTCTAGGGATTTAAACCTATTTGAAAATCTATGCCAAAGTTTGTGTAAAGCAAGTGTGTACATAAGTATATATCATTCCCCACCTTCCACCTTCTCCTCACACGCACAGGCCCAGAGGAGGCATGCCCGCAATGCACAGGTGTCCCGCTGTCCGTGGACCAGCGCCGGGCCCTCACCTGGATGTTAAGCTGCTTGTCATGCAGGGCCCTCTGCAGCTCCAGGAGACTCCCCTTGAGGGTCCTCAGCTTTACAGCCAGCTGCTCGGCTTCGTCCTTCGTGTGAGCCTTGCCCTCCAGCAGCAGGTTTTCATTGTGGACCGAGAGCTCCGATAAGGCCACCACCTTCTGCTCTATTTCCACCAGCATGTTCTGGGACAACAGAAATAAGGCTGAAACTCGCACGCCCTGCCAGCCTCTGCAAAGACTGTTCCTCACAGCGAGAAACAACGCTTCCTTAGGTCTTTCATCAAAAGAATATGCCTTCCTGCGTTTTTTTCTTTTCTTAGCTTTTCTACAGCCCTGAAGAGTAGGACATAGATTTTTAAAAATTCCTTGAGCTTCTTAATTGTTCTCTTATTTAAGGTTAGGTATTATATAATAAAAATATATTGGAAAAACACATGGAAAGCCCATTTTACACAGCCAATAGATGTGGAGAAAAGACCATGCCTTCGTGCTATCCCAGTATGAGCATCATTTTATTATTTTACTGTTAGATTGTGAGGCTGATGGCTAATAAAAGTAAAGACTTCACATAATCAACCCTTTGTTTGATAATTTAAAAAGGATTCTCTTTCAGAACATTGCTTTTTTGGGTCGATTTTGTTTTTCAGATTGCTGTTCTTATTTCTTGACTTTTATTTTTATTTTTGTTTCTAAAATGATGTGTTTTTAACTTTACATTTCTGAAGCTTGTCCTAAGAATTTTACTTTCACTTTCTGTGACGACTCTCTAGAGCTGCAGATTTTCTTCTAAAACGAAACTAAGTTCAGAGAAGCAGCAAAATTGTCTCCCTTCTTTCCAGGTAAAATTTAAAACAAAACCAACACAACAACAACAAAACAAGCAAAACAAATAAAAAAAATTGTTCTGTTTTTATATGCCTTAATTCTAAACCCTTTGAAAAGCATTTTCTATATTATCAAGTAATTTTCAATCAAGTAATTTGTTAATGAGAAAAGATATTTTGTTTCCCTGTACAAAATCAGATTTACTGCCATGGACTTTTAAGAATATAGGTTTGAACCAAAAAATCTAGAACTAAACGGAATTGTGAAACTTTTAATGAAATGAGTTTAAGGGATGATTTCCTGAGGATTACTTTTGAGAAATTAATATAATTCTGTGCAGGACTGACTTTTACACTAGGCACGGGGCCCCAAGAAAATGTCTTAATTGTAATTTTTTTTAAAATCAGAGGAAATAAAAAAGGAATCCACCTTGGATTATATTAGCCTTTGTACCAAAGCAGCTGCAAAATAAAAAATACANATTTTTTTTAAAATCAGAGGAAATAAAAAAGGAATCCACCTTGGATTATATTAGCCTTTGCACCAAAGCAGCTGCAAAATAAAAAATACAATTTTTAGTATTTTTAAAGAAAAAGGAACCCATGGAAGCAAAGTGCCCAGAACCCCAAATGTTATAATGTGGCCCTAATTCTGTGTAACAGTCACAGTTATAATTATACAACTGGCTCAAGTACTAGATTTGAATGAATTGACTAAGGAACTGTTACATATTTGTGTGATTCCACATGCTTCTAGTTTCTAAAAATATTCTCAAAAGACCATTTTAGTACTTTGTAAAGGTACTGAAATACATTATTTGAATTGTGGACTTTATGTAGAACGATAAAAATAGAGGTATCCAAAAGGGAGAGGTGGGAGTAATGACAAAACATATTTTGAAATGCTAGTGCCTGTGGTAATTTTAAGTGCTAAAAGGAAATGCTAAAAATAAAAGTCTCTTCAGAAAGGAACGTTAGAAAAGATGATCTAAAGCACAGAAAACATTGGCAGGTTGCTCTCTGTTGTTTAGTATTAAAGCAGAGAATAATAATACCTTGAATACACATAGATAAGTTACCCAAGGAATTTAAAAATTCAAATTATAATGATCAATATGTTATAATAAATCTCAAATTATAAAAGGAATGACCAAAATGGAATAGCACATATTAAAAAAAAAAAGCGATAATGTTCATTAATGAATGGTCTTTGTGCATTTCCTCTGATACCAAATGGGATAACTACAAAGTCATACTTCATGATATTTAACTCTGCAGATTAGGTAGGATTTTCTAGAGACTTGCTAGTTAGTTAAATGAAAGAGCTTTTAAGACATACGTCACCCATGTGTGAAGTATAATATGTTGGTCATCTTTGAATTCAATGATTGGCACATGGAGTTTATTATCGATCCTCTATACTTATATGTCTGCTTGAAGTTTTTCATAAAAAAGAGATAAGACACTAATATTACAATAAAAACCTTAAGGTCATTCCCCCTACCTTAGAGCCTAGAGACCTCACATCGGAGATAGGAAATTCCCTGCCNTATTACAATAAAAACCTTAAGGTCATTCCCCCTACCTTAGAGCCTAGAGACCTCACATCGGAGATAGGGACCTCACATCGGAGATAGGAAATTCCCTGCTCCAAAAGACACCTCCCTGTGTTTAATCTGTCTGCCCACAACTGACAGTTTTTCCAAGTTTTCCAAGAACTGTATCAGAATTAGAACTAAAATTGCAGCAGGGACATCTCCAGGGACATCTCCTGTTGAGTTTATCCACGGTCTGATTCACGGACACTAGTTCTTCTCATTGGCTCTGCATTTCTTCTTAGCACCAAATATAGACACTGTAAGTGTTTTGGTATCTATAGTCTTGTTAAAATTTCCTTTAGGAAGTTGAAGACCTTCTAAAGATTGGGAACTATTGGCAAAATTTTTCAGAAGATTAGGTTCAAGTTTGGATTTCATTTAAGCTTTTATAAGGTGTTGTTTTTCTACTCTCTAAATATATAAAGTATATGGGTTGTGAGAAATCAGATATCCATATCAAGCCTTTTTACCATTAGGTTGTCACATTTAAAAATGTGCTTTGTGATGTTGACATACTCCTTCGAGACCTTTGCCGTACCTGGCAGTCCACTAGCTGGGCCTCCATGTCCATGGGCTCCTTGGAGGTACCCAGTGCGACGTCCAGAGAGGCCTTAGTGCTTAAGAGCCAGTGGTCCAGCTTGTCGACTTCGGAGCGATACCTCTGCAGGGCCTGCTCCTGCCTCTGTTCCTCCAGCTGGTCATTTAACTTCTCCTAGTGAGTAACGTAGAATGTTACACACATCACCCTAAGACAGAATCACTAGGATTCAACACAATAGAGCGATGGTTCTCAGCTCTGGCTGCACATCAGAATAAAATGAAACTTAAAAAAACAAAAAACCAAAAACTATTCTTGGGCCACATACCAAGGCAATAAATCAGAATTTCTAGAGGTGAGTCTCAAAATTCATATTTTTAAAAAGCTTCCCCAATGATTCTAATGTGCCCTAGAGTTTAAGCATCTTAAATAACACACCTGCCGGACCAGGCAGATAACGTGAATGATGAGAACGGATCAAGGATTAGAATAAACAGTGGCATCCAATAGTTGGTAAGCGGAAATGAGTACATGGCCTCAGTGNAGGATTAGAATAAACAGTGGCATCCAATAGTTGGTAAGCGGAAATAAGTACATGGCCTCAGTGTCGGGGAAACTGTGGGGAGTAAGGAGACTGTGACAAACTGAAGAACACAGGGTCCACCTAAAAAGGCGGAATTGTGCAGTTTCAGGCGGCTGATTCCCTGCAACAGGAGGTGGCCCAGTGTTACCAGTTTCTTGAATGAAAGCAGAAATTCTTTTTTTTTGTTTAGATCTCTGGTTTGTTTTTTTCAAAGATGGCAAATAATTCATATTTTTAAAAATCCAAGTCAATCACTTTATTTTGAAACTCCGCAAATGTTTCATAGAGTGATTAGGGATAATATTAATAAATTAAAAAGTTAATTCTTAAGATAAAATACTCTAAATACCTTAATTTAAAATCTATTTTATGAATAACTTATACTATTATTTTTATTTTATTATTATTTTTATTCCTCATTTGTGGATATTTTTTCCATTGCTTTTCAGAGAGAGTGGAAGGGGGAGAGAGAGAGAAACATCGATGTAAGAGAGACACATTGATTGCTTGACTCCTGCACCGGCCCTGACCACCAGGGCTGGGAATTGAGCCTGCAACCAAGGTACGTTNGAGAGAAACATCGATGTAAGAGAGACACATTGATTGCTTGACTCCTGCACAGGCCCTGACCACCAGGGCTGGGAATTGAGCCTGCAACCAAGGTACGTGCCCTTGGCTGGAATCGAACCTGGGATCCTCCAGTCCATGGGCTGATGCTCTAACCAAGAAGCCAAACTGGCTAGGGCTATTACTATTTCTTAATTAAATTTTTAAAAAAATAGTTTAAAGTTTAAAAAGAGCAGACATATCGATTTTAAATTTCTTCCAAACAAGAAAGCCTGGCCGGTGTGGCTCAGTGGCTGGACATCACCCCCATGAACCAGGAGGTCATGGTTTGATTCCTGGTCAAGGCACATGCCCAGGTTTCAGGCTTGATCCCCAATAGGGGGCGTGCAGGAGGCAGCCCATCAATGACTCTCATCATTATTGTTTCTATCTCTCTCTCCCTCTCCCTTCCTCTCTCTAAAATCAATAAAAACATTAAAAAAACAAAGAATCTTCAAAAAAAAGAAATATATGAATATATGATCTGACTAATCTTATGATAGGTAAAACTAGAAAGAGCCTACACACCCAACAATAGAACCATGGTTAATTGAATTATAGTATAATCAGGAGCCAAATAAAATAATATTAAGTTCATGTAATAAGAAATGTAATGAGAACTGATTATGTCTCAGAGTTACAAGGAGACAGACACTCTAAAGGTCTTTATGGTCTCAGGTCTAATGTCATATATGTTTAGGTGCAAGAAATGATAAGAGAAGAAAGCAAAGAAGAAACTTTCATGAACCAGTGTGCTTGAACTGGCTAAGAGTGACTAAAGATTTATTCTTAGGGGGTAATAATATTCATTAAATGCTCTTATTCAAACATAGCAAACCACTGTGCAAACCCTCTGCAATTATACTCCACAAGGCCCATGTCCACCAAGTATTTGCTTTCTACACTCTCAATTTTTCCTGCTGAAATGAGGCAGAAAGGGGTGAAAAGATGCAGCCACGGCCACACACTGACTCAGGGCTCTGTTCACGAGGCCCTCCCTGAGACACAAAACTAGCTGCTTGTGGGACAGGAGCAACGAAACCGCAGGTCACGTAGCAGCCCAGACACTTGTCAACACGACTCTAAGAGACATGGATGTGAGGAGCCTCAGAGTTACTCGTTACCTCCAAAAGCTGTCGCTTCCCTGACGCTTTCATCTTGATGGTGGACATCCGCTCCGCTAGCACGGTGAGGGTGGACTGTAAGGCCAGCTGCTCCGCGGGGTCAGACTCGGGGGACTCGGACGCCAGCTCCTCTGCGAGGGACGCCTGCAGCTCGCCGATTTCATCTTGGAGCATGAGGATCTCGTCCATGAGGGCCTGCGGGAAAGACCAGAATCGCACTCGTCAGGACTTCAGGGGACTGAGGAATCCCGTCGCTAGCTCACTCACGCCAGTTGAGATTAATAAATATATTTCACCCGAAGTCATTTAACCAGCAAATAGGGGAGTGTATTACAGAACTGTACCTCTACCAAACCAAGCTTCCCAATGAAAGTACCAGGCTACATGTCAGAAAATTTCTGATTTCAAAACCCTGCGTCGCTAACTTAAATGAATTTGAACAAGTTCTTGAATCTTTCTGGTTTTCAATAGGCTCATCTATAATCCGAGGAGGGTGTTACAGGCTCCATTGATGTCTGCAGCTTCATGTCCATGCTGAAAATAAAACCCCTCGCTTTCTTCATCAACATGATTTCCCCACTCTCCAACGCGCCACTTCACGGGGCTGATCTCCAGCCCCTCTCTTCTCTGATCCCAGGGTCTCCCAGATGAGGTCCATTCCCAGGGAATGGCTTCTAAGGCAGAACCCTTCCAAAGGCACATCCCTGCCCAGGCATCTAACACCAGGCTTGTACACTCCACTTACGCGTCCCACGGGTGTCTCCATCCAGGATGCAGGAAGCCTGCTTCCTCCCCGGTCTTCCCCGCCTCAGTGAAAGGTGCCACCCTGCTGGGCACTGCTCCACCTCCAGGCCCAGGAGCCGTTAATGACTCACCTCCCCTCCGTTTCACTGGCTAAATCAAAGCCCATACCAAACCCAACTGCTTTTATCTCCAAAGATACGTCCTGTATCTGTGCATCTCCTCTGCCCCCACCCTAAGCCAGAGCCTATTGTGGAGGCTACCTGTCCACATTCCGGTCTCTCCTGTCTCACAAAGTAATTGGAGAGGGCTCCAAAAAGGGAAATCAGACCCTCTCACTCTCCGGCTTTAAAATACTTAGTGGCTTATCGCCTGTAAAGTAAAATCCAAGCTCCTCCCCATGTACTTGTACATTCTCACCTGCCTGCCCCTTGTACCACACTCCCTTCCAGCTCATACATTCCTGCCTTTATTATTAGTTACTCCAGGGCCCTCAGCAATTTACTTACTTACTTATTTATTGAGGTGACATTGGTTACTAAAATCATATAGGTTTCAGAGGTACAATTCTATGATACATCATTTGTATATTGTCTTATGTGCTCACCACCCCAAAGTCAAGTCACCTTCCATCACCTTTACGCCCCCTTTACCCTCTCCTATCTCCTCCCACCCCCCTCTCCCTCTGGTAATCACCACACTGTTGTCTGTCTATCAGGTTTTGTTTTTGCTATTTTTTTCTGTGTTTTGCTTAATCCCTTCAACTTTTTTACCCAGCCCCCAATATCCCCCGCCCCTCTGATAGCTGGCAGTCTTTCACTGTATCTATGAGTCTGTGTCAATTTTGTTTATTTTGTTCATTAGATTCCACATATAAGTGAAATCATATGTTACTTGTCTCTCTCTGACTGGCCTATTACACTTAGCATAATACTCTGCAGGTCCATCCATGCTCAGCAATTTCTGTAAAGTAGCAAGCACCCTGTTTTCCTGGTTAACATCTATCACAATTATACCGGGTTTTTATTTTACATTTTTCATGTTTTATGATTTGCTCTTTGGCTGTAATCTTGACAGGAGAAATTCTTATTTAGGATTTAAATGGTGTGTTAGAAAAACAGGCCTTACTGCAGAAGGGGATTTCTATCTGCCAGTATTTCATAGTTTCCAGGGTGCCCCACGTGCCTGATCCCCACCTCTCCCACGTTACCTTCTAGAAGAATGCTATTCAAAGCGTGGTCTAAGAAATGGTATTAGTCTGCAAAATGTCTGTCACCAGTTCATGACAAGGTGAGGATATCCTGGGTAAATGTTAGGGAACTTTCAGAGCTACTTGACATTGACATGATATCCAAACAGTTACTTTATTTTTTATTTTATTTTTTATTTTTTATTTTATTTTACTAAGATGCTGGTCTGGGATGGGTTAGAAACTTGAAAAATGTTTTTAAAGGTTATTGACTATATAGATAGTTCAAGAAGCACTGTTTTAAAACTTTTTCTTTTCCCTTCACATTTAGCTCTACAATCCACCTGAACTTAATTTTTGTGTCCAATGTAGGTAGGGGGTCAACATTTTTTTCTATGGATAGCCAACTGACCCTGAATATTATTTTAAAAAGTGATTTTTTATTCAGTGTTTGGCAGTATAATTTTTGACACGAGCCAAGTGTCTGTGTAGGTGTGAGTGCTCGAGCTCCAATTCTGTTCCATGGACCCACCGGCTGTCCCTGCCAACACCCATTCTCACAGCTACGACAGCTCTAAAGTCTCACTCCAGGTGGGATGCATCCCTCAACTTCACTCATCTTCTCCACAGTTGCCCTGGCTATTCCTGACCCTTTCAAATTTCAATATACGTATTTTCATACATTTGCGATATACTTTAGAATTAGCTTGTCAATCTCCACCAGAGAACTTGCTGGGATATTTTAATGGGGTTGTAATGAACTACAGACTGATCTTGCTTGTCACACATTCAAAATGCTTTTTGCCCAGTACATTATTTTCTACTACTTTAGAGTAATTTCTTGGTACTTGATTGCCAAAAGTATAAAATTCACATTATTTGGTTTAACTGAAAGTCCTCTCCATACCTAGACTGACAGCACTGTCTTTCTCTGCACAGGAGGAGCCCCCTCCCTATTTCACACCAGGCCCATTCTCCTCGCCTGTCCTCACCTGTGCGTTTATAGTGCCTCCTCCCACTCCTACAGCCATTCCAAGTTTTCAAAATCTGTGTCTCCCCCAAACCTGCAAGTTTCCTTTCACCTACTTCCCACCACTGGAGCCCACAAGCACATTTTTAATTTTTTTTTTTGTACNCTCCCACTCCTACAGCCATTCCAAGTTTTCAAAATCTGTGTCTCCCCCAAACCTGCAAGTTTCCTTTCACCTACTTCCCACCACTGGAGCCCACAAGCACATTTTTAATTTTTTTTTTGTACAATGTGTTAGTAATTCACTCCACCCCTGAAGTAGATTTTTTAATAATATATTAATGGAAACGTTTGTCTATTTCAGCTGTGCACATAATAGGTGCTCAACAGATCTAGTAGAATTAACTCTAACTCTCGATAGAGAAAATATGAATCGTGAAGCCACCAGAAAAAAGAAAAGAAGCCTCCTCATTTAACCTCAGTGGATTAGCAATCAGGACTAAGTCCAGGGCGGCCACAGCTCCCATTGGCACCTCCCCTGCCTGAGCGGCTCTCTGGCTGCCCTGAAGCACAGGATGAAAGACTAGAACTGTTCATGTTCATCTCTTAGAGTCGAGCCTCTCTAGCTGTGCTTCTGTTTGTGCTTGAGGGAGAGGGGCTATTTTTGGAAGACNGTTCATGTTCATCTCTTAGAGTCGAGCCTCTCTAGCTGTGCTTCTGTTTGCGCTTGTGGGAGAGGGGCTATTTTTGGAAGGCTATTCTTTCTAACTTCAACATCCAGCAGCCAAGCTTCCTGGGTTTTTCTTTCTAGGTGATGGAAATGTTTTGTACTAAAATGCCACAGAATTGGACACTTAAAAATGGTTAATTTTATATAATGTGAATTTCACTTCAATTTTTTTTAAAAAAAGGTCCTGCAGTCAAATATACCTTCACCCCATAGCTCTGACTCAGCTGGTGGCCGGCTGCTTCCCCCAGGGCATCTGACTCAAAACTAAGGAGCGGAAGATGAAAGGCAAGTCTGGGTTTCTGGCCTGTGGTGAGAAGGGGGCGTGGGCATGACACGTGGTTTAGAGAAATACCTTGAGCTTCTCCAAAGTGACTCACTCTGGAGAGAACTGGAGAGAACAAGGGGTTTGTGTTTGGTTCAACACCAAAGGTAAACAGGAATCTCGTTGTGACTTTCAGAACTGTCTACAGCAGCACAGTTCATTTCAAATGCTGAGTGGCTGTATATATTAAAACAAAAACAAAATAACCTCAGAGCTCTGCCTACTATCCACCGCTGAGCTTGGTGTGGCAAAGACAACACATGCCCACAAAGCATTAGCTGCCCGTGACAGTGGAGGTCCCATCACAGAGGGCTTAACACTCAGACCAAGGGCCACAAGCCAGCTTATGAATCACAAGACTATCTTAAAATTAAATCTATCAAACAATTTAGAGAGGATAGCGGGGAAGTCACAGTGTCCCACCCAAACTCAGTAGATTCAGTCAAGGGTTTAAAGGGAAAATGTGGGAATTTGGTTAGCTATTAAAAGAAATATGATTACTTCTGAGTGAGTGTTGGGAAAGAAACAATTGAAGTGTTTCTAATAATTTTTGGAAATATAAAAAGCATACTGGACTTTCTCACTCATGTTCAGTTGGAATTTAGAAGTTAACTCAGCAGTAGTGCTTGGAAATTTTTAAGTACCATTCCAGGAGCTAAGAACCAATTTAGACACTGTGATGCCATGAGCTTTTCACGTGGGCAGCTCTGTCCCAGAATTTGTAGAACTTAGGTACTGACAACAAAAATAGGTCAGATGGAAAATGTCAGATTTGTGATTACATGAGAAATTAAACATTATTTATATTTCTTTCCTTCTCATTAGAGCATTAATATACTTGTTAAGCTCAAATAACAATCATCATTGAATTAGCTATACCTTCTCACTGCTATAATTGTTAGAATTATCACTCTCAACTTAGAAAGAGACAAAAAGTCACATGGTTGGCCTTCATTACAAGAAAAGTCACAGATTCATTTCTAATTTGTAATATTTAGCATTAATGTAAAATTTTGAGTCTTATCCATTAAATCCCTTGAACAAAATAATAATTTGCTCTACATTCAGCTTGTTTGTTTTTATACTAATGCTTGAGAGGCATGGTGGTGGTGATGACTGGAAGCTCACTTGCATTTTCAATGAGCAACTCTGGAATGTCACCAGACAGATGACCAGGGCAAACCACCAGGATCCAGTTTTCCTGAAGTTCCTAAATCCTGTGGGACCCAGTGAAGGGTTTTGGGGAGCTGTGGTTAGTCCCCTGGGACACAAGAATGATGAGCCTTGAACAAAATCAGAGAGGACCCAGAAAGAGAGAGAGAGGTTAGCTGTGTGGATCCTCTCCAGAAACATGGACTTCTGCTAATCTAAGCGAGTGACCCCAGATTCACTCTACTCCAGCCTTCAGGTACTTTATGCCAAATTCCTTTTGGAAGCTCAAAGGGAGTTGTGATGGGATGAAGAGAAGTTCTCCCGCCCCTCCTGGGACAGGGAGCATGGGTGATGGGGGAAGGGAGGTGCAGCACAGCAGACAGAGCCCCAGGCACACTGAGGGTACATGGAAAGCCCTTCAGATGACAGTGAGGAAGCTGGAATATCGGTTAAAGAGGAGTGTGGTGCTCAGGGGAAAACTGCTTCGTAACAGTCACCGAAGTCCCTGGCTGCCCTCATGATTGGTTTGGTCTAGGTAAATGAAAGTTAATTGTAATTTTATATATTTATGGCACCCTCCCCAGACCAGACTGACTACGGGCGGCTTTGGGAAACAGAAAGACCCAAGATGACCTAAAATGGACGATATGCACTTTGATTTCTATCTTACACACTTACAAACGTGTCAAAAATCTGAAACCATATTTGTCAATATTCTGTCTCTAGATAAAACATTTTTTATGTTATGCTGCAATTTTGTAAAAGAACGCACTTATATTTTAGACTACACCCATGAACAAACAGGATATTCCAAAAGGTTATCCTAGGTTCCAAAACTATGTAAATGTAAATTAGGGGAAGGGTGAAGAGTTTCACTTTTAAAGCTGGTAAGTTCCCCAGTGCTTGATAGATGCACATATCACTTTGTGCTTTCATAGCTCCTAATTTGCAGCTAAAAATATCTTCCTTTTCTTCTGCTTTTTATAGGTTGTCACATGCTCCTGAGTTCTGGTCTGGGGCAGGCAGTGTTTCCTCATATCATGGTGACAACATTTGGGTGAAGGCATGTCACAGTGCCCTTGCACCTCAGCTACACCTGATTGCGCATTAATAGGACACCTAATAATACGCTAAAGCATTACTCAGATTTTAACATATGAGCTTTCTTAGCATGCATTTTGAATGCATGCATTTTGAACAATAGCTTTGTGATTTATGTAAAGCTATAGCCTTGCTTAATTTACATAACTTTCGAAAAGGAACCGAAGTCGGGGACAACCACAAGATGGAACTTAGCACTCTCCTATTGTTCAGCTGTCTCTTTGCCCACTGAAGTCTGAGAGTTAGTCTTTCAAGTGATAATGGGAGGTGCCGGGCACACACTGGCTAAGTTTCTTAAAACAACAATACCCAGAGAAGGCGCAAGGGGGTACACTTCATTCTTACAACAGTTTGCAAGAAAATTTTAAAAAATGGCAACTAAAAGGAAATGCACTTTGCATAATAAAAGTAAAAAAGCAACGTCCAGGCAAGTAGCTTCCTTTCATTAGATTCAAGGTCTGAGTTTCTTTCCTCCCCTCTTAGATCCCTCCCCAAGCAGGAGTGGAAACTCCCACCATGTGCAATCTTGTTTACTCTGTAAGAACCGATGCCCTAAAAAATGTCAGTCTGCTCTCCCAAGCACACGCCTGGCCTGCGACCAGTCAGTCACAGGGGGGCACCTACTTAATCATGCAGGAGGCTCGCGTCGCCGCTATTTTTACCTGATGCTCAGCCATCTGGCTCTCTGGACTCCTGCCCGGCTCCAGGTTCTCGCTGAGCTTCAGCTCGATGGCCTCCATTTTTGCGGAGTTGGACTGCAGGGCGTCCTGGTACTTCTGCTGTCGCTCCAAAGCTTCATAGAGGGTGCGCTGCTTTTCACTGATCTAAAGAAGAAAAGGGGCCTGACGGAACGTTTCCTAACCCTTGCCTTCTCGATTATGACACCGCTTTCCTCACTGCCTTCCCCCTGCGGCCCACCAGCGGGCTCGGCTGCGCGGGGATGTGTAGGCTCTAGGGGCGAGTTGCAAAAGACACCCGCTAAGGTCATGGGCGCCTGATGGGCTCAGGGGGGTCCACGTTTCAAGGCTCACCATGCTCTTTAAAGTCTCCCAAGAGCGCTGCAGCTCATCCAGCTTAGCGGTCGCAGAGGGCTCCAGTCCTGGCCCATAGAAGTCCTGGGGCGGCACCGGGCAGGGGTGGATCCTCGCGGCATCTGTCTGCAGCCTCTCGGCAGACAAGGCTCCGTAATAGGCAATGTCCTGTGGGCGCAAAGCATAGCGCTGCAGCCACGGGGACAGCGTCTAGGCCAACATGCCCTGGGCACTGCCTGTCAGGTGGGGAAGGGTTAGGAGAACACCTGTCCCAGGGGCTACACACTGTTAAAGCAAGGAAATTCTTGTGACAAGAAGGAGAAAGCACATTATAGTTGCTTTAGAATTTCAGTTTATATTTAAAAAATCAACAAGTTTACCAATAAAAGTTGTCAGAACTCATTCTTGTTTTGTATTTGGTAAAATGGAAATACAAAAAATGTAAGTGATACACATATTTAAAGATGGATTAACTACTATAGCAAAAAACAAACAACAACAAAAAACCTAAATCATCTTTTCTAAACATTTCCTAAAATGCTATTTAATGCAGTGATTGAAGTTTTGAGTAATTTTTAAAAGTATTTGCATTAAATAAAGCTAAATTTATAGAAATTCATTTTTCAGGTATAGTCAAGTTTTGATATTTGTGAGCTCATTATTTATGGAAATTCATTTAAATATTTTAATATTAAATAAGGGAAAAAAATAATGGGTAAGTCAAAACTACTCTAAGAAACAAATAATAAAAAAGATTTCCTTCAAATAGATTCCTGGAAAGCACACACAAAAATAAAGTGAATGATGAAAAACCAGGCTATTGAATTACCTTTATTTCTTGGGTTATAAGTAATATTACATATTTTATTAGTATTGATGATGGAATCAATTACAGAGACATATAATTCATATATTTTCAACTGTGAGCTATATTCTGTGGTTATTTATCTGTATATTAATAGAGATTGAGTTGGCGAGTCATGTTTACTTTCTGGGAATTGCTATTATAAAGTTCACCACTTTTACAGCTGTACTATTGATGAAAGTTATGTTCATTTAAAATGCCTGAGCCTTATTGATAATAATATCTTGGTAAAAGGAGGTTCCGCCCACCTGAGAAACCCTGGAGACAGCAGGAAGGGGGCTGGAGTTTGGGGGTCTGTAGGCGCACAGAAGGCCGTGCAGTGGAATGAACTCAGAGGGCAGCCTGACACCCGAGAAGTCGGGAACCTGAGATCCCAGCTGGCACTCTCCTCCGATGGAGCCAGACAGCTGGGGCCAGTCACTCCCATCCCACATACTGGCTCCCTCCTCCCTGCAGCACTGTGGGTGCTGAGGATTCAATGAGGTTGTATCTGAAGGGCCACAAGACCTTCTGTGTCGTTGCTGTCGCTGAGGCTCCAGGTAAGTCCCTAACATTTACTGATGGCACTGGGACATGGAGACTGGCCCCTCTCCATTCCTAGTCCTGTCACCAATCTTGGGGAGATTCATCTGGTATTAGTAAGTCCTTTGAAAAGCTCATGTTCGCCCAGCTGGGCGTGGCTCAGCGGTTGAGCTTCTGCCTAGGATCCAGGCTCCACCTAGGTTGAGCTTCCGCCTAGGATCGGGGTTCGATTCCCAGTCAGGGCACATGCCCGGGTTGCGGGCTTGGTCCCCAGTTGGGGGCGTGCAGGAGGCAGCCAATCAATGACTCTCTCATCATTGATGTTTCTCTCTCTCTCCCTTTCCCTTCCTCTCTCTGTAATCAATAAAGATATATTTTAAAAATAAATAAAGTTAAATTTTGCCAACACCTTTGTTCCCTTTGCCCACTTAACCTCTGCTTCACTCACCTGGAAAATCCCAACCAGGACTCAATCTAACTTTACTTCCCAGAATGCATGCGTGTGCATGCTCACACAACCATGCACACACACACAGACACGCAACTGAAGCATCAGAGAGATACTCCTGAAATTCTTAAACTTCCAAAAGCCCGTCTACATTCAGACTCACCTTTACCTTATGCTTGCTAGTCTCCCTGCTTAAGGATAACCCTTCCACCTACTCCCAGAATCCCATCCACCTTTGCTCTTTCAAGGGTCTTGGTCTGTTAATATCCTCTCCCTCTCTACTGACCTTCTCCTCATCATCTAGAGTCAAATCTTTTCCATCTGAAAACACCTACAAACAGTCTTTCTTTCATAGTTATTTTCTTGCAGGATATCATACATTAGAAATGTTCTCAAATCACAGGCGGTGGGTCATCACAGGTGCAGACACCTGCACACACATTCACAATCACCGTTTCTCCCTTCCTCCCCTTCCCTTCATAATCCAGTTTCTCAAAATGTTGGTTTACACTTGATATGCTCACTTTCTCGCCCTCAATTCCCTTCTAAATACGCAACTGAACTCCAGTCTCAAGGACCCCACTGGGGTTGTTTTTTCACGTCATCAGTGGCTCTTCCCTATGAGATAAAATGAGTATTTTTCAGCCTTTCCCTTCCTTGACCTATCAGTAGCATCCCATGCACTGGCTGGCCTTTTTGGAAACACTTTTCTCTAATCGTTCTGTTCTCCACCCAGCTCTCCAGTCATCCAGTCTTTCTCATTTGCAGATTTCCTCCGCTCATTCTTAAACATGGGTCTATTTATAAGCTCCCAACTGACATATATGGCTGTACATGTATATCCCATGGTCCCTTTCAACTCAACATTTAAAAAACAATCCAGGGAGGGAAATGAACTTAAGAAAAAATGATAGTATCTTAGCCATCTGTCCTCTGAGCTACAAGCTTGGGATTTATTCGCTACTTCTCCTCTCCCTCCCATCCACTGCTTATGTATGGGTGACGTTGTAGTGACACATACCCCGCCACAGCATTGGCTCAGATTCTCATTACAGCGCCAACTTCCTCATTCCCAGGCTGCAAACTGGCAGCACACAGGCTGTCTCTGGCCTGTATGTACCTCACTTGGCCTATACAATATTTTAAATTGTTTAAATTGCTCTTCACTGGGACAGAGAACTTTCATAAGAATCCAGATTCATGACTTCTCTTGCAAGTCAGAAGATAGGCGAGACTGGACGCTGTGTCCACGTGGCTACAGCAATTCTAACAGAGGAGAGGCCGCCTGCTTTATGTGGAGACGTGCTGTCCAGGTGGCCACAGTCCCCCTGCTCTTTCTCTCACTGACATCGCAAGTCTGGGCCTGGCTTCAGAGAGCAACTTCTGGCTCTCACTAGCTTCCCTGGCTCTGAATTGGTGCATCTCCACTCTACTGTCCACATCCATCCAGGAAGATCCTTCTAAAACTCACTTCTGTGCATAGCCTCTAGTCAAATTCCCTCAACGGTTAACTATCAGCTTCTGGGCCAAGTTCAGATTCTTTTGTGTGGCACCCAAGGTCCTCAGGTTGTTTCCTGCAGCCCTCTCAGCTTCCTTTCTCTTCCTTCTTCAAATCTATGTTTCTCTAATTCTTCTGATTCTGTTTGTAGTTGCCTTGATGGGCCATTTTCCTTCCTGACAACATGCTTTCCTACATGTGGTTCCTTTTGCCTGAATAACTTGACATCGCTCTAGGGCCTGCCAACTGCCTAACCTGCACTCCTGCCTTAAAGCCAAAAGGGCCATCCCTGACCAGTACTGGTCTCCAGCCTGGTTTTGGTGCTTTCTCTTTGTGCTCCCTGAGCACTTGGTGATTCCTGCTGTCAGAGCACAGGTCCTGCTCTATTGTAATTATCTGCCTGCTCTCGCAGGCACAGAGCTCCATAAAGGAGGAACACCCTTAGTCTCTGATCCTGAGCACACTGTGCTGTTTGGCAAGTAACAGGCAGACATACATGTACATCAAAAATCATCCATATAAAAGTACCTACTTAAATCTATTATTTTATATATATCTATATACTATTACTGTCCATGAGGGAAAAAAGTTGCTTTAAATGTGGTAAACATTTTAAATTAAATGCTCTATTATAAATTTTAAAAAGGCCCTTAAAAGAGCCAGAATATAATAAATTGTTACCAAAACAACTTTCTTCTGGCTCTTTTGAGTGTGATTGTGAGAGTGTATGTGTATGACTCAGGCCTGTTAGACAGGAAGGACAGCTGGATTTTTTTTTAAGGATTTGAAAATATACCACCTTTTGTTAATGAGTAACTTGGATGACATAGAATAAATTCAACAGAATAAATCCATCAGTCCTTTAAGGAATTGCCAAGTAAAGGCAGTATTTGTCATTTTGAGGAATCCCCCTTAAAATGTCTCTGTTGCTTATGTGCCTAAGTTATGAGAGTTGTTGTCCAGATTCCTATAACTACCATTTTATAACCATTTTCCAATCAGAATGGTGCTTTTAACAATTAATATCGTATTTAACATTTTTTCACAATTTTGTGAACGAAGTAGCATTGCTTCCCTTGCAAATGAGGGGGCTGAGGGGCTTCCCAAGGACTTTCAGCTTAGAGGAGGAAAAGCTGGAGCCTGCTCTGAGCTTTAGCTGGAGCCCAGCGCTCTACCCCTTACAGGATCGCCCTTTCAAACCTCTGCTTCTTCAGCTCCCTCCAGGAGCTGAGGTCTTGCTTCCACAGGGATCAAGAAGCCTNTCTCCATTCCTAGTCCTGTCACCAATCTTGGGGAGATTCATCTGGTATTAGTAAGTCCTTTGAAAAGCTCATGTTCGCCCAGCTGGGCGTGGCTCAGCGGTTGAGCTTCTGCCTAGGATCCAGGCTCCACCTAGGTTGAGCTTCCGCCTAGGATCGGGGTTCGATTCCCAGTCAGGGCACATGCCCGGGTTGCGGGCTTGGTCCCCAGTTGGGGGCGTGCAGGAGGCAGCCAATCAATGACTCTCTCATCATTGATGTTTCTCTCTCTCTCCCTTTCCCTTCCTCTCTCTGTAATCAATAAAGATATATTTTAAAAATAAATAAAGTTAAATTTTGCCAACACCTTTGTTCCCTTTGCCCACTTAACCTCTGCTTCACTCACCTGGAAAATCCCAACCAGGACTCAATCTAACTTTACTTCCCAGAATGCATGCGTGTGCATGCTCACACAACCATGCACACACACACAGACACGCAACTGAAGCATCAGAGAGATACTCCTGAAATTCTTAAACTTCCAAAAGCCCGTCTACATTCAGACTCACCTTTACCTTATGCTTGCTAGTCTCCCTGCTTAAGGATAACCCTTCCACCTACTCCCAGAATCCCATCCACCTTTGCTCTTTCAAGGGTCTTGGTCTGTTAATATCCTCTCCCTCTCTACTGACCTTCTCCTCATCATCTAGAGTCAAATCTTTTCCATCTGAAAACACCTACAAACAGTCTTTCTTTCATAGTTATTTTCTTGCAGGATATCATACATTAGAAATGTTCTCAAATCACAGGCGGTGGGTCATCACAGGTGCAGACACCTGCACACACATTCACAATCACCGTTTCTCCCTTCCTCCCCTTCCCTTCATAATCCAGTTTCTCAAAATGTTGGTTTACACTTGATATGCTCACTTTCTCGCCCTCAATTCCCTTCTAAATACGCAACTGAACTCCAGTCTCAAGGACCCCACTGGGGTTGTTTTTTCACGTCATCAGTGGCTCTTCCCTATGAGATAAAATGAGTATTTTTCAGCCTTTCCCTTCCTTGACCTATCAGTAGCATCCCATGCACTGGCTGGCCTTTTTGGAAACACTTTTCTCTAATCGTTCTGTTCTCCACCCAGCTCTCCAGTCATCCAGTCTTTCTCATTTGCAGATTTCCTCCGCTCATTCTTAAACATGGGTCTATTTATAAGCTCCCAACTGACATATATGGCTGTACATGTATATCCCATGGTCCCTTTCAACTCAACATTTAAAAAACAATCCAGGGAGGGAAATGAACTTAAGAAAAAATGATAGTATCTTAGCCATCTGTCCTCTGAGCTACAAGCTTGGGATTTATTCGCTACTTCTCCTCTCCCTCCCATCCACTGCTTATGTATGGGTGACGTTGTAGTGACACATACCCCGCCACAGCATTGGCTCAGATTCTCATTACAGCGCCAACTTCCTCATTCCCAGGCTGCAAACTGGCAGCACACAGGCTGTCTCTGGCCTGTATGTACCTCACTTGGCCTATACAATATTTTAAATTGTTTAAATTGCTCTTCACTGGGACAGAGAACTTTCATAAGAATCCAGATTCATGACTTCTCTTGCAAGTCAGAAGATAGGCGAGACTGGACGCTGTGTCCACGTGGCTACAGCAATTCTAACAGAGGAGAGGCCGCCTGCTTTATGTGGAGACGTGCTGTCCAGGTGGCCACAGTCCCCCTGCTCTTTCTCTCACTGACATCGCAAGTCTGGGCCTGGCTTCAGAGAGCAACTTCTGGCTCTCACTAGCTTCCCTGGCTCTGAATTGGTGCATCTCCACTCTACTGTCCACATCCATCCAGGAAGATCCTTCTAAAACTCACTTCTGTGCATAGCCTCTAGTCAAATTCCCTCAACGGTTAACTATCAGCTTCTGGGCCAAGTTCAGATTCTTTTGTGTGGCACCCAAGGTCCTCAGGTTGTTTCCTGCAGCCCTCTCAGCTTCCTTTCTCTTCCTTCTTCAAATCTATGTTTCTCTAATTCTTCTGATTCTGTTTGTAGTTGCCTTGATGGGCCATTTTCCTTCCTGACAACATGCTTTCCTACATGTGGTTCCTTTTGCCTGAATAACTTGACATCGCTCTAGGGCCTGCCAACTGCCTAACCTGCACTCCTGCCTTAAAGCCAAAAGGGCCATCCCTGACCAGTACTGGTCTCCAGCCTGGTTTTGGTGCTTTCTCTTTGTGCTCCCTGAGCACTTGGTGATTCCTGCTGTCAGAGCACAGGTCCTGCTCTATTGTAATTATCTGCCTGCTCTCGCAGGCACAGAGCTCCATAAAGGAGGATCACCCTTAGTCTCTGATCCTGAGCACACTGTGCTGTTTGGCAAGTAACAGGCAGACATACATGTACATCAAAAATCATCCATATAAAAGTACCTACTTAAATCTATTATTTTATATATATCTATATACTATTACTGTCCATGAGGGAAAAAAGTTGCTTTAAATGTGGTAAACATTTTAAATTAAATGCTCTATTATAAATTTTAAAAAGGCCCTTAAAAGAGCCAGAATATAATAAATTGTTACCAAAACAACTTTCTTCTGGCTCTTTTGAGTGTGATTGTGAGAGTGTATGTGTATGACTCAGGCCTGTTAGACAGGAAGGACAGCTGGATTTTTTTTTAAGGATTTGAAAATATACCACCTTTTGTTAATGAGTAACTTGGATGACATAGAATAAATTCAACAGAATAAATCCATCAGTCCTTTAAGGAATTGCCAAGTAAAGGCAGTATTTGTCATTTTGAGGAATCCCCCTTAAAATGTCTCTGTTGCTTATGTGCCTAAGTTATGAGAGTTGTTGTCCAGATTCCTATAACTACCATTTTATAACCATTTTCCAATCAGAATGGTGCTTTTAACAATTAATATCGTATTTAACATTTTTTCACAATTTTGTGAACGAAGTAGCATTGCTTCCCTTGCAAATGAGGGGGCTGAGGGGCTTCCCAAGGACTTTCAGCTTAGAGGAGGAAAAGCTGGAGCCTGCTCTGAGCTTTAGCTGGAGCCCAGCGCTCTACCCCTTACAGGATCGCCCTTTCAAACCTCTGCTTCTTCAGCTCCCTCCAGGAGCTGAGGTCTTGCTTCCACAGGGATCAGCCCATTCTGGGGCAGCTTCATTATCTCTCCCCTCAAGTAAATGAAACTGGCCCCACATTCCGGTAACAGCTACTGTCAGAGACAGGGCCCCTGAAAGTGGGCGATCGTTGGTTACATAACAGGGATCCACTTACAGGAGCAGCAAGCACGGACCCTTCTAACGGCCGCGCTGCCTAAAGCAGTTCTATCTGGCTGCTCCCTGAAGCAGCTGCACATTTCTGCACCGTGTTTGAGTCTGGAAACTGGAACTCAGGCGGATCCTAAATGTCCTCCTCAGTTTTAAGAGAAAATCTTGTAAATCCAATGCATCACTGGCCATGTGTATTGGTCCCTTTTCCTCTGACTCACATCACTGTAGAAGAATTCATGTGGCTGTAAATGATGGGTCGGTTTGCTTCTGCAACGCCAAGCATAATGCTTTGGCTTTTTAACAGCTTCCTCCCAGTATAGCTGCCTATCATACGTTAAATACAAAACATTTTTTAATGAACTTGTAGTATCACGTGTAAGTATGTTAAGTTAATAATGTGGTTTAATTGATGGTTTCCTGTGATGGGCAAGAGGTGATATAAGAGATTAAAATAAAGCATAGCCTCCCCCCTAATTTGGGGATTTGATTGAGCTTGACAGTCAGAGTCATCACGATAAAAGTGTCCCCACGTTTTTTTATTTCCAGGGCACTGTCACGTGCATCAAAAGACACTTTACAAGTAGCATCAAGGTTCATAATCTTAGAAAAGGGACATTCTTCCCAGTGTAGTCTCAAGGTCAGTGTTGACTGTTCAATTTGAACATTTTAAGAAGATTAAACATAAGATACATTTTTTTTATTTTTACACAATCAACATCGGACTACAGCCACAGTTCTCCGATCCTAACAAGCGTGGCCACAGGGAACAGCGTGTCAAAGAACTGAGTAATGCTTATTTTAAAACCAGTCTGCGGAGGACGGTTTCCCAAAACCTCTAGCACGCCCTGAACTTCTCCATTTTGTTGTTTTTTAATTTCCTCTGGTCCTTTTTTAATTATCCGCCCCATGGCCATCTTTCTCTCCAGAGTCTAAGGCCTGGAGGGCAGGGAGCACAGCTGTCGTCCCCTGTGTTGCACCTCTGGGGCTCAGCGCCGGAGTCACCGGTAGTCAGAATGTACCTGACGAATGAACGAATGGATAGCTGCCCTAGAGCTATATAGAGATTTTTAGCAAGAGAACTGTTTTATCTAAAGGTTTCATCAATTTTATTCTTTCTGGGGAGAGAGAGGGTTTTCTCTATCACAGAAACCCTATTTTGAAATCTTCCGTTTTAAAATGAAAAAAAAAAAAAAAAAGTGATACATCTGTAATATAGTTTATAGAATCTTTGGTCTGTTTAATATTTCTTCCCTGATACTACAGCTAAACCCCTTTGAACATTTACATAATTTCATAGTAACATCATTAAAAACAATTTTTTAGTTGTTTTGGCTAAATGTAAAAGAGAGCGTATTGCTCAACATGCATGAACATTTTTTGATTACCGTATGTGTCTTCTTGATTTCTGTCTAATATTTTCCATGAAAACTTTTAACCTATTTAATTTGATACAATCTATTTTAATAAAATGTATGCTAAAAGGCATCTCAAAACAAGGTATTATTCCTATTTTATAAAAAATAAAATTTAAGATTATGAAAGGTGAGAAAATTCAAATCTACTAAGGTATTCCAATATGTAAACTGGCAACCAGCCCTTTAAATTCGATGACCATTAGTAAATGAAGAAAAAGTATAATATAATGAACAGAAGCTTTCCATCTTCAAAATCTGAGCCGGTAGGTGTCCAAACTGTGTTCAATACATGTTAAGACAGCAATGGAATCACAGGGGTGACACGTTTTCTGTTAGGATGCAGTACTCCATTACAGACAGCTGTTAGACACCAGAGCCAGAATGCCTTAAAACAGAGCCTCCTCCAGCTATAATTTCTGTGACCCAGTTTTTGCTCGTCTCGTTGCCAGGAGCCCTGGAGAGGAGATGAAGTGTAAAGCCAGCAGTGGTCTCACGTGGCAATCATAGCTTGTGCCATTGTCACATCTAATGGTGTGCTCCTCAGAGTCTAGGATTCACACCCACAGCCTGATAGGAATGAAGTCCTGCAACCATCCAGAGAGCAGAGCTCGGGGAGGGCCAAGTGGGCGGTACCTGGTTAACAGAAGCTTCCGTGTTAGCCACAGGTGAAGGGGAACGACAGGCAGGTGGAGAGGAAATCTCACTGTTGGTTCCCTCCTCCCCAGACTCCTCAGTGACAGGTGACAGCAAAGTGTGACAGCGACCTGCAGTCATCTGTCACATAAAAGGGAGCCCAAAGGACACAAAAAAATCAGTTAGCTATGTAACAAAAGACCTGGTCTGGTGTAGGTCAAAACAAAGATGACTATATAACAAAGGTTAGAATTACTGAGACCCATATTTACATGCAAATTTGTGTTAATATGTAAAAGTTTCGTTCAAGTGAACTTAATGAGAGGAACCATTTGTAAAAGAAACGGTGTTAAGGAGGTGCACGTCATGTCGAATGTTTTGTCCTTGATTAAATAGTTCCCTAATTTATTTTTCTTTCTTGATTGTATCTTTATAAATAATTTTTAAAAATCATGAATTGTACAACTGATGGAGGAGTCTATGAAATTAAGCTTGGATTTCTGTGTACATCTCAAATTTCAAATATTCTAGGAAGATAATTACACCCTAAGTAATAGATTGCCAAGCATGGCACAGTACACACGTGTGGAAAAAACACAGCCCTGGAAAGCACTGAGTTACCAAAATAACGCATGCATTTTAGATGAAAAGTGATGGGGAAATAATGTAGACAGAAATGAATGGGACTTCTTTCTTTTAATCCAAAGCTAAACTTTGGATTTTCTATTTTCTTATTTTTCTAAAAATAGCCTTTCTTCTATATTTTACTAAACATTTATACAACGAAATACACATATCTAGTCAGCCAGTGCTTTAACTTGGAAAACTCATAATATATGTAGCACGGTTCTCTCATCCCCCAGAAAACTAGAGAACGATGCAAAGGGGTTTTTTTTGACACTTAGAGCCTCTCAGTAGCCTTGCTAAGTTATAAACAAACGCAGGGCCGACCTTTGACACGTTAAGTAATTCAGCAGTTTCCAGCAAACAGCTTTAGTTCAACTGTCATTGTTTACAGTGTCACACACTGGCTCTGGCCCCAATGTAGCAGAGTTAAGAAGACTGTTCCTGGGCTCTAACCTGCAAGACCTGCCCCTGGTCCCTAAAACAAGCCAGAGGGAACCTGGAGCGGGGAGCCGGGTACAGTCAGAGAAGAGAGTGCTTGGCCGCGCCCGGCAAACCTGGCGGTGACCCCTACTTACCATGACCACGGAGGGGTGGGCAGAGGTGGCTGGGAGGAGCTCCCTGTCCAAGTCCTCCGCCAGCCCCTCCACCTCGGTCACCGTCAGCAGCATGGTGGCGTTCCTGGCTTTCATCGTCAGCATCTTGCACTTGGAGTTCAAAGCGGCGATCTGCTCCTGGTAGCCCTTGATTTTCTGAGCCAGCTCCTGAGGAAACATTTTCCCACCCCCGTGTCAGAGCAGCATCGAGAGGAAACCGAGCTGGCGGCGCTCATCTTCCTCCGGGGCCGGCCAATGAAAGCACAGAGCTGTGCCAGGCGGCGGCGGGAGGCAGGATGTGGACGGGGCTGAGCAGCAGCTGCCTGCAGAGGGGCGCGGGCGCGGCCGGCAGCCCGGCGTGGGGCAGGGGCAGGGGCAGGGGCAGGGCAGGCCCGCGGGATCCTAACCCGAGGGGTGCCGCCTGCGCAGTCGGGGACTTATGCAAACGAACGACCTGCAACTTTCTTCAGAATGCCTGAACCTGTCACTGCCAGATGGTTCATGCCATGGAAATCAGGTCATGTGATGACTAAAATTACAAAAAATGCAATGCTCAGCTCTATGCTGAATATATGAAATCCAGTAGTCGTTTGTTCACACGGGGTCGCTAAGCAAACTGCTTGTCTTTCCTGCTTCCTGGGGAGTTATTTTTGTAGATAAGCTGAAAATTACATATGAAAGCCAAATTTTTGAATGCAGATTGCACCCAAAATAAAATTTGGTACATTCATCAAAAGTTCCTTCAGGTACTCCACCGTGCTTCAAATGTTTCTGAGGCTTCAAACTGGAGCTTTGAACTTGTCCAGCTCAAATGTAATGCCTTTCAAATACATTTCTTGTTGAAAAAAATTGTGTTGAGAGATAGAGGGGTCTAAAACTTTTTCCAGGAGCTAACTGAATATATATTCTGGACATACATATTTTCCAGAAATAGCTCTTAAAAATTCTAAAATATTAAAATTCTAAATGATAAATTAATATGGTAACTCTAAAATATTAAATTTATATTTTCTTACTTAAAAGAGGTATACATCTTTAAAAAAGTGAAGATGTATATCCTAAAACCTTAGTCCTAAGAGTGCACTACCATTCCTTTTTCCAATTCGTTTTATTTGGCTCCCTTATCTAAAAAGTTGTCATTTAGTGTTTGTACAGAACACAGTCTGTGACAAAGATTTTAGACATCAACGTCTTTAAAATCAGTGTGTATATACAGATATGTATACAGACACTATCATTTTAAAGACATTGACATTCAAACTAGAGCTTTGAACTTGAAGTTCAGAAACAAACAAAATGACAACAATAACAAAATGATGTGTGTGCGTGTGTGTATGTCTATGGGTATGTGAGTGTGTATATGTGTATGTATAGGTACATGCACATGTATACACATGTACACACATATATGTACTATTTTGTTACTGTTGCCACTTTGTTTCTCCCCTGCAACCCAAACTGAGGGGTGGAAGGGAAAACAGCCAGCAGCCTGATTTCCTGACTTCTAGCATAGTCCAGGGATTTTTTTAAAGCAAGTGCTTAAAAAGTAGAAATCATCACTTTTTTACCTATTAGGGCTGCTAGGTAATTAATTAAACCTAACAGGGTTTTAAAAATAGTGATTAAGTAGCTATTTACTATACCTGGTCTCACGCCTAACACACGAGTACTCTATTAATAACTAGTTAAATGCACATAGAAAAGACAACTACCAGCTCACCGGACTCCTTGAATTCTTTCTCCATGGGACAAATCTGTGTGCATTCTTACGGTGCCTCGCCCCATCGGGGTAGACTGGAGGAATCTTTGTGAAGCACCATGAGTCTTAGACCTCCCACCCTTTGTGCCCGCATGGATGGCCACCGCCTGCCCCGACTGCAGGACCAACGCACACCCACGCTGACAGTAACGCCCACTGCCTAAACGGGAGTCCTCAGCTTTACTGCGTGGAAAACTCCTCTGGGCTGTTTGATAAAAATGCAATCCTGGTCTCCACTTCAAATGGTTTTGATTTGCTAGGCTTGTGGGAATCTGCACTATACAGCTATCCTGTGTGAGTGGCTGGAGAATTAGCTCTCTGGAACTTTCTTCTATAAGATAAACCTGTCTATCTCCCACTAACTTGCAGGTTGGGGGTTGAGTCCGCTATATTACTTGGAGCACTGACGGGGTTAACGTGTTCCCCACTCTCGGAAACCATGTGTACTTTTCATTTTTACTGGGCATTTCCAAAAATGAACATAGAAGATGACTACAAAGGTGAGGGCTTCAGGTACAGGGGCTGCTCTGAGGAAAGCTGCCCTCTGGGGGGCGCCACCCGCAGTCAGGAGCAGGGCTGTCAGGTCCACAGCAAGAGGCCTGACTATTCTCTCCTACGATTTGAAAGTGGCCGATAATTTTCTCAGTTTAAATGCAACACTTGAAAAATCATGGAAAATACGGGAATTCCTTAGAAATGAATCAATGATCAGTTATTCTACGACTTAGAGTTATCCACAAGGAAATTAGACTCACATCAAGACTGAAATTCTATTAAAAGCAGACTGCAAATACAGGAAGAAGCATTCTTCCAAATTTTTATGTTATCTTAAATCAGGCTCTCTCCTCTCAGCACTTTCCTTCCTGCGTTTGTTTTATAGGTACAATGAGCCTCGCCCAGGACTATGTCATCGTTGCTATGAAGGTGCATTCTGAATCGCATGACAAAGCTAACAAATGTCTGCACTGATGCTTAGAGCTGGGGGAGAATGTCACAGAATGAACAGACCACTGAACAGGAGCCAGAGAGCAGTCCACAGCTGCTTGTGCTGCAAGCTGGCTCCGTGACCTTGGGCAAGTCATTTGTTTTCCTAGACCATCATTCTATTCTTTTGTGCAGTGAGGTAGCTCAAATAGTTTCTGCAGCAGTGAGAACTAATTTGGAGCCAAAAATACTAGATTAGAATCTATTTTCCCTGAGTAACTAGATCTGGGAGCTCAGGAAGTCATCTAAAAAAAATCTGTTTTTCTTTTCTTGTCAGTAAAATAGAAACGAAAAAAAATCCTTACCTCACCGGGTTGTTATAAAAGGTAAGGTAAAAACTTTGAAAATTGTTTTGAAAAACAGAAAATCGTGGTAATGATAATTACTGTTATTCCAGAGAAGATTTTTTAAAAATATTTTCTGTGCTAGGATAGAACAGTTGTTACAACAAAATTCTGGGTCTTAGAAAATGGGATTATAAATAGCTTCAAAATAGATTTACAATATATAGTCTAATGTCTGAGTTATATAAACAGTGGTTTCTGATATTTGCATAACATTTTCTTTTAACCAATGGCATAAGAGAAACAAATGTTAAAGTAGGTGATATCTACCATGTAGGAGTAAATGTACGTGGGGTATTTATTTACATTATTTTATAAATCATATATATACAAATGTGATTTATGCATTGGCTGTGTCAAGAAATTAAAGAATTGCATTTGGAGAGGGGAATGGTAAGATTTTTCCATCCATAAAAGGCAACAAATGAATCTTCTGAGACCCTCACTATGATGTTTGGTTTGTGAAAAATAAGTTTGTTGCTCCATGACAACAGAGTTAAAATAGAGCACATGGAAGGAGAAGCTAAATGTCCACCTCTGGCACAGAGAAATAAGACACCCCCCACCCCCAGGCACTTACCAGAATTCATGATGCTATGAGCCAGCCCCCAAGGGAAAGAGTAAATGTGACCTACATAGGAATTGACAAGCCAGGAAAGGAATTCACTGCCAAATATCAATGGGCTCAGACACTCAAGGTCTATGATCTCTGAAACCAGGTCTGCACAAAGGGTGTCCAAGTCCTAAGCTCATAATGATGCCAACGGTATGAGGAAAGAGGCACTTTTGTAAATGGGAAGATGCTGAGAGGTACAGCCTGGAAGTCAACAAAACAAAGAATATGGCCCATTCTCTGATCTTGGTGAAAGGAGCTGAAACAACCAATATTTGAAAGAACAGATGCTTATAAAAATGTATGAAATATCCTTTCTTTTTAAAGAAGGTGATCAGGGCAGCAAGACTTTGAGCATTGCTGCTGCTTTCAGGCTTTAAGCACAGGGCTCAGCCTGGGTCTTGGTGTATTAACTGTGAGAATTCAGGGGCAGGAGACAGTCTCTGGGTCCTGGTTGAGAAATGTCATGAACAACATGCAAAGAAGTTTTGGAATCAAGGGGAAGACTCATGCTACTGGACCTTGGAAAGGATTGGCAAAAATGGCCCTCAAAATGCAAAGAGAGATGAAGAGACTGGCCAAGAACACGTTATGCCAGACAGAACCTTTCTCTTTGATTCACTAGAAACCAATCACGAGTTCTAACCAAGCCAGCACCCTGCCCGAGTTTCCGTCTCACCTCGTGCTGAGCAATCTGGGCTTGCAGCTCCTGGATGTTACTGGTGGCCACAGGCTTGTCCTCAATCTCTCGGTGAGCTCCTTCTATCAGCTCCTGGAGGTGCTGCATTTCTTGTTCATAGTGTTCATACTGCATCACAGCCTCCTTTGGGAAAAGAAAGACCACAGGAGTTACCTTTCAGTATCAGTAACTGTGTAAGCAATTCGTGCTGCTCTCTGCCAAACTACAGTCTTAACTCCTGGGGAATAACGAAACGATGGCTAGAATCCCTCAGAGACTCAAATCCTCAACTTTACTCAGGTATTTCAGGGCCTTCTTTTTAAAACACGTCGCCAAGATTATTCATGAACTCAAAGTAGTTAAGTGGCTAGACACTCCGTGTGCCCCCTACTCACAGCGCCCTGACGGTGGCAACGTCATGGCCGGACGCGGTGGGAAGCGGTATGAAAACCACGATTGCTTTATTTTTCCATCTAAACCATACTGAACACATGTGTAAGGCACTTGGTAAGAGCTGAAGTCGGGGGTAAAAAATTAATTAAGCATGACTTCTATCCCCAGGAATCTACTGTCTAACAGAATGTAAGACAAGGAGCGAGGGTAACTGACCAAAGAGGCTGCTAGCAATGCAACCAGAGGGTATTTTTAAAAAAATATATCTTTATTGATTTCGGAGAGAGGAAAGGAGAGGGAGAGAGAGAGATAGAAACATCAATGATGAAAGAGTCATTGATCGGCTGCCTCCTGCACGCCCCCGACTGGGGATTGAGCCCGCAACTCGGGCATGTGCCCTGACCAGGAATCGAACCCCGATCTCCTGGATCCAAGGTCGATGCTCAACCGCTGAGCCACACCTGACTGGGCTAGAATTTTTGGATAAATATGGTGCAACATGAGTTGAAATGAGATATGAGGTAAATAGTGTTGTTGTATCTTCCCAGTAAATGATTTTTCTCTTATTAAAGAGACTAAGAGTTATCCTTTGGTGTACTTTCAGGCACAAAAATGCATTTAGTGCACCATTAAGCTCAAATATGAAAAAAAATTCTGCGATATATGCTAGCGGTAAGTCATATTACAAGGTTCTAGATGATTCTAGGATGAATTATGAAGTAAAAACACCGCTGAATATAAAATTAACCCATGTAAGTAGTCCTTATAAAAATATCGCTAAAAGGTAGTTCTCACCACCAGATATTTTTATAGAGCTTTCCCCAGGCTTTTGTGGGCGATCCACACAATAGCATTTCATCTCCTAATTTTACATACCCACAACACCTGTCACATTTAACACTCTGAGTGTGTTTGCAGGGCTGAGCCCACATGACGCTCAGCAAGGGAGCCCGTGACTCCTGGGCTGCGGCTGTGGTGCCGCTGGCGTGGGGACCCCCGCAGACCCAGGCTGGCCCCCCGCACGTGCCTGCAGGACGTTGCACTGCTGGATGGCGGCATGCTGCAGCCGGCTGGCCTCCTCCTGCAGCTGCAGGGCCGCGTGGCACAGCGGCAAGCTGGTGACCACGTCCTCGGGGATCCGGAGCGCGCTCTGGCAGACCTGCACGGCGTGGACCTTGGGCTTCAGCGACTCCACCTCACACAGCAGGTGCTGAAAGTGCGAGTGCATAGTTCACGCATTTTATATTCAGGAGTTCCTTTCACAAGCAAGGGCCGCTCACATTGCAGCCCGTCTACCAGTTATAAACATTTTCCACGAAAGGTTACAAAAAACAAATGCCTACAGAGCTAAGAATGACCGCGTCTAGAAATCGCTTTTCCGCGCTCCCCCCTTTTAAAGCTGAGGCCCCCGCTCATCTCCCCTGAAGTGCTTCTGCTCACCTGCCGACGAGAGAGCTGCTCCTTGAGGCTGAGCCGTCCGGCCTCCGGAGAAGTCAGCGTGGCCTGCGCTTGCTCCAAGGCAACTTGCAGGTGTTTCAGCTCCGCCTCAAACTGGCTCATGTCCTGCAGAGGACAAAGCAACGCGGGTGTCAGGGCCGAGGCACCTGAAGTTCAAACTCATAGGGAGGGTAACATCAGGGGCCAGGAGGCCCCTCAGAGGGGAGTGCTGCATCTCCGCCAGAAAACCACCAGTGTTTTTTAATGATGGACTTCTCAATTTAAATTATTATTATTCTTGCTTTTTACCTCGGCAGCATCTTGGAGATTCTGCGAACGCATTTTGATCACCTGCCGCAAGCCCTCGGTCTCCCGTCCCAGGTCGGCCACTTGCTGAAACATCTTTTCTGTGTAGTACACGCTAGCAAGGGACTGTAACTTCTCAGCCATTGCGTCCAGATCGCTGTGAATTTCTTCAGATTCCTCCAGCATGGTCTAGAGTGAACGATCAATATTCACAACACTGACAGGTAGGTGGAGAGGTACAGGTAATCAACGTGGACCATCAGACTGGGAAGGGAGTAGGGAAGACCTAACTCACACCTCCCATGGCCCTGGGGACGTGGGCGCTGTGTGCCCTCTTGGGTCTAATCTCCACACCCCTGCGCCCACTCCCCACCTACTATTATTCTCATTTCACAGAAAAAGAATCGAAGTTCAGAAACTGTAAACAATTTCCCAAGGCCACATGCTATTAAGTGTTGGACCACAAGGCCCAGGCTCTGTCCATCACCCTGAGAGGCCCCCTGGTGAGGGTCAGGACACGAATGTTCCAGCAGAGACAGTGCTCTACACATCGGGCAGCTTCATCAGGCTGCTGGGCGTCCTATCTTGCCTCATACTCATTTAAACTAAAGAGATGCACTCCAGCTCTCATATTCTACACCTAAGGTCTACGTGCGGATCAGTCTAAGGAATGAAAATAGGGCAAGAGCATTGCAAACAAACAAAAAACCTTTGATCACTCGCTTTAAGTGAGACAAGGGGGTAGACGCAACTTAGGGTCCCAGGAGGAACAGAACACGCCCTGGTCATTCAGGACGGGACCATCTACTGGGGTGACTAACACGGATGGGTTAATAACCATGTAACAGGCACTGCCCGGGAAAAGTGAAAGAGAAGACAGGGTAAGGAAGGTAGAAACGGGACGGACTTGCAGCAAGGCTGGAGAAGGCTTCCTGGAAGAGTCACTCTGAGTGTCTGCACAGAGTCACGGGATGTCCGCCTTCTGACAGATGGGGAGGAAGGGGGCAGCCATTCCAGGCCGAGGGAGCAGCCAAGCCAAGGCACAGGGGGGAGTGAGCACAAAGCGGGCAGGTACGGGGCCGAGTGGTGTACAAAGAGAAGTGGGAGGGGCGACATTATTCTTAAGCCACAGACCCTGATTTTTTAAAATAGAGCACATTTTTTTCTCACAATAAACAGTCTATACGGGGGAGGGGGCAAATGTAGGTTTACAGTTATAATACAAATAAATAATACAATAATTAATAAATAATAATACAAGAATAAACTCTGTGCTTCCCATACTCACAACTGTAAACCCACTTTTGCCCACCCCCGCATTTGTATAAATAAACGATTCCCTAGTCCCAGACCTGAGAAATTCAAGGAAGCCGAGCTGCTGCTACGTGTGGGTATAGCTCTAGGTAATTTAGATCGTAACCCACCTACAAGTTTGCATCTTCCTCTTTCACCTGACACTGGCAACATGCATTTTCTCTCTGTGCACTGTTTCTGGATAAAGTTGGGGGCCTTTAATTCCTGAGGCGGGGACAGGAGCTCCCTGGAACGGTGCGTGCAGGCCGAGTTCTCTCCTGAGCGTCCGTGTGAAATAACCACCCACACCCACTGTCTGTCCATCTGCACTCAACCCACCCAGCTGCCCAAGTCAGAAAAACAGGGCCGTTGCCCTTGGCCCCTCCCTCCCTTCCACTTGCAGCCACAGACTCCGGTCCAGGATTCCAGCTCAGTAAAGCCCTTGCTCCTGTCTTCTCGCAGCCTCCAGAGAGGCCCTGTCCCTTCCTCCTGGAACACTACAGCCACCTTCTGTGTCGTCTTCTCATCATCAACCTGCTCGTGCCCACAGGCTGCTAAGTCATCTTCCTTAAACGCAAGTCTGTACTTGTCACTTGCCTGCAGAATATCTGTCAAGGGCCTCGGAGTGAGTTTAGGATCAAGTCCAAGTGCTTATCGGGCTCCCAGGATCTGTCTTTTCCTTTGCTCTCTGTTCTTGTCTCCAAGACCTCTCTTCTCCGGCACCTTCCAGCGGGCCAAGCAGGGCTCCCCTCACTCTCACAACTATAGAAGGAGGCTGGCTGTCTCCCAGGACTCAGCCCAGAATCGCCTTTTCCTGAGAAGGCTCAACCGTCTTCTCAAACCCCGGCAGTCTGGGTGGAGCGCCCTCCTGGGGGCTCCTTCAGCACCTTGGCCCCTCAGTGCCTGCATCATCTCAGGGCGCTGGAACTGTCCAGATCTGCCTCTATCTCCTTCCTCCCTTTAATGATCAACTCCCCGGGGGCTGGGACAGGAAATATTGTTAGTACTTCAAATGCCAACTTCAATTCCTACCTTTGCAAAATACCTTATAAATGTTTGTTGAATAAACAAATGAGTATAGCAGTTTTTTAGAAGAAAGAGCCTTAATCACCATTTTAAAGACTGCGTTATATTCCATTATATCCAAAAATTTACTCAGAAAAATGAGTTGACATTTAAGTTTCCTTTAAAATTCCACTCCAGTGATTAATACTGCATGAAATATTTTCTACAGTTTGGATTACAGAGTAGAAACATTTTGATGATCATGATTTGTTTTGCCAATTGTTTTTCAAAGAGCTTTTACCAAGTTCCCAGGAGTGTTTGAGAGCTCTTGCTTCCTTAAATATGAACTTTAAAAGAACAGTGTTAACTCGATAGTCAAAACACTTTCTCTCTCTTACATTTGCATTTCTAGATTTCTAATGAGACTGAGTATTTTTTCATTGTTTACAACCAGTTATAACTTAAGTCTTGTATGTTACTATATAAGCATATCCTCAAATAGAAGACTGGAGTTGTTTAAGGAGGATTTCTTGAAAACAGTATGTGCGAGTGATTGGAAATAAAGATTGTAGATACAGGGAAACCAATTAGAAGCCTGTTAAAGCAGCCCGAGTTGAAAAAGAAGCTCTGATCTAGAACCCTGTCAACCGGAATGGGAAAGGGGCTGGATTTAAAACACATGAGTATACAGAAATCAAAATAAAAGAGAAAATCTAAAATACTTGAGGATATCCATGTAACTTAAAAAGCATTCTGCATTTTATTGCAAGATAACTGGGCTACTAGATATCTATGTCTGATTCAAACCTAAATTATAAAAGAATGAAATAATTTCCTGGATGACACAACCCACAGAAAATATCAGAGGAAATGAAGCAATGCGGCCACCTTGTGATGTGGGCTCATTGCCGGTGCCCAGCTGACCCTGCTTCCTGTGGAAGCCAGGCAGCCGAGGCTAGGGGAGGGCTGAGGAGGAGGCGTGAGAGCTCAAGGCCCACGTGTCAGATAATGCGCGTGGTAATGTCTGCACACGAGTTACACCATCTGATCCTCGTAATAATTCTGCAATATAAATCGTTACATCTCCATCTTACTGGTGAGAAGTCTGAATCTAGAGAGAGAAAGGAGTTTCCTCCAAATCACACCACCCTAAATGGCAGAGCTTGGTTTTCCCATCAGTCTGACCCTGGCTTACATAATCTTTCTATATGTCACAGCATCTTTCATCAGGAAGGATTCCCCACCACATCCCTGCATATAACTGTTCCAAAGAAGCTGCACAAAAGGGACTGGTTATTTTTGGTCTTGGGAAAGGAAAGTCTAGGGGAGATAGAGGACATCCATTCATTTATACAGTTTTAGCAAATTTCATGTGTAGCTACTTTCTTTTAAACCACTGGACAAGTAGTAGGGCTACCTTAGCTTTCTTTTTTTCTCTGGCACCTACAATCATTTGACATTACAGCCCTCTAAATTTTCTCAGTCTAGCCAGTTAAATTAAATTTTTCTCTTAGTTACTCTTTGAAAATTATTTTTCCCAAAGTTACCTGATGTGAAATGTATTGTTCCCGAAGTTGTTTCGCAGAATTCCACACGATCTTTCCATGTACCAAGATTTTAGCTTTGTCAATCCACTTCAAAATCAATTCAAGCATTTCACTGCATTCTTCTAAATGTGATGATGCCTAAAAAATCATTAACATTCAGATAACAAATGTGACCTCTACTTGAGCTACTCATCGGTCTTCTGTCACTCTTTGGATACGGTAGTCGTGGGGGTTAATCCATTATAATATCTGAGATATTTAAAGTGTCAACATGAGAAACATTCAAACCCATACAGAATTTTTATTAGTTTATTGGAGCTAAACTGACAACACATGCCAGGGAGCAAGATCTCAAAGTTCCACAGAAAAACAGTTCTGTAGCTTCTTCTAAAAATTGAGGTGGGGACTTAAGGAAGACTGGAGCAGACAGGAAGGTAGTGATTGGATTACAGGACGGTTAACAAGATTATATGCTCTCTTGAGGGTGGTTATGTGTTTTTTAAAGGTGTGCTATCCTAGATGCACAAGAACAATGGATAGGGCTGGCTTAAAACTGTTCACTAAAGAAGTTACAGGCCTGGGTTAGGACCTGCTCAGTTAGGAATTTATGATCAGATCACCCTGCGAGGTTACTTTCAATAGAGAAAAACAGAACACAGAATTTCTGCGCTTGAAAATTATGATTCTGGCCTGGAAAACGTACCTGACTGAGCTTCGAGAACCGATTCTCAGCCTGTCTAACAGTCTGCAGGTGAAGTTCGGTCAGTTTTCCTATCTTCTTGGTCAGTGGTCTCCCCAGTTGGCCATTCTGTTCCGAGAACTTCTGTACTGCTTCATCCAGTTCCACCAACTTTAAATTACAGGCATCTAATTCCTCCCCGAGCTCCTAGATGGCCATCCAAAAGAAAGAACATTAGACTACAGAAATGAATTTCTCCAGATTTTTCAAGATCAGAAGGATGATATTAAATGATGTTTGTGTAAGACAAATACTATAAGAAGTAATTCTACCATGATTAGGTCATTTCTATTTCTTTGGTTAGGAAGACAGAGCCGGATGTTTTGCAACCCTGGTGTTTATTTCTTATGAGGCTGAGAGAGCTAATATTTTCCTTCTGCCCCACCCAAAAAGGATTAGTCACTTAAGTCATCGGTGGAGAACTCAGATTTAGCTCCCAAGAAAGAACATCCTTCATTGTGGAACTAACGTATTGTATTCCTAGCTCATTTACTTCTCTGACACTTTTCCTGCTTACCCACACGTGCATGTATGTTTATCACAAAGTTCAATGTGATGATAAATTATACCATGTAGAGAGGTCTGTGCTATCATCTTCATACAATTTCTTTATTGCTTCTCTTTTACTAGCTGTTTTTAATGAAGCTTGCTGATCAAGAAAGTTCTTTCTTATACCCTCTAAATGAACTAACTCCAAAAAAGACTAAATTTAGTCAGTAGCATCCCTTATGTTTCCAGTTCTCTTCCTTACCTTTTGGTCAGTTTTTGCTTGAACTAAGTTATCTGTCTTTGCTCTCAGCTTAGTTAGAATAGCTGTGAGATCTTTGGTGATCTTCTGAATTTGCCGGCCGAATTCTTGGCTCGTGGCCTTGCTCTGTTCAGCTTGTTTTACTTTGTCTTGGATCTAAATAATCAGTGAGAACAGCAAAACCAACCATGGTTAAAACTGGGTAACAGAGATGGACCACCTCCATGTGGAGATGTTGAGAGATTTCAGGCGATTCGTGCTGCTCTGGCATTGAGGAGCTTTGTCAAACCAGCCACATGCAGTGACAAACTCACATGGTTTTCCACGCAGCCTCACTTCCCCCATCTTTATGCATCCACTGCATGTTTTTCTGTTGCTCCTTCAGCAAAGGAACAAGCAATGCACGTGCAGCGATTCACTCATCAAATATTTAGAGTATTCACAGATGGCAGGGCAGATAGCTGAGTTTGAATCTGTTTCCTAACACTGACCTGGAGCACACAGACTCCTCTAAACCTTTTCTTCATAGCATGAAAAACTCTTCCAGGTAACTGGAACACACACATTTGTTTCCAAGCACCTTTTCGTAAGAGGCTGGTAATGATCTGGTAACCCCTTTTCTAACTTGGCCATTACATCCCTACGGTTTGAACAAAAAGCATGATGCACCTCCGGTGGAAGGGAGGTGAAAAACAGCAGGTAACGTTTGCAAGTTTCTAACGGCCTTGGGTGGCCTTCATCACAAATATTCATACTTTTGCTTATAATAAAATGCCGAAGAAGCGATATTCTCTTTATATAAACGAAAGGCTAAAATTCATAGAAGGGTGACTGGTAGCCTCTAGGTTCTAAATAAATATTTGTTGGACACACAATATATATCTTATTTTGTTGTTGTTGTTTCTTTAAGTCCCTTTTTTGGAAAAAGGGAAAGCAGATACGTTATGGTTCATTATCTGACATTATTGCTCATATCATCTGATATGTGCTGCTATTTTTTTTGCCTATGATGAAGACCTCTAATTTAACAGTATTGTTTTATGCCGAGCAGTTTTTAATCCTGTTTCCATGAGGAGGTACTTGTGAAAATCAAGACTCTCGCACAAGAGCACGGGGCCCATGGGAGCACGGCAGCCGCCTGGGCCGGCTCACCTGGTCGTGCACGGTTCCCAGCTGCAGAGCCGCCTCCGCCAGCTGCAGGGAGAGCTCGGAGGGCAGGACCGCGTACCGACCCAGGTACCGGCTCTTCTGCTCTTCAGCTACTTTCTCCATGTTCTGTCGGTGGTTTGTGGCTTCTGTTAGGAGCATCTGAAGGAAAGACAAAATGAGAAATTTCTGGGAGCCCAAGGAAATGTCCATGGGTACAGAGACAAGGTGACACACTGTCCATCAGTTCGGGATTAGGTGTGGAGTTAGAAGAACACCTTAAGAAAAACCAAACGTTTCTCTAGTCTCTGGATAAGAAACATGTGCACTTTATACAGAACAATCCCACGAAATCAGGCTGAAAAAGCCTTTTATGCAATATATTTCTGAAAAATTTTAATTCAGTGTTTCATTGAATATAAACAAATATGTCAGATTAAAATCAGGGCCTTATTTTTTAAATGATGGGTACAGGGAATGAGGAGAGTTTTATACCTGAAGTTCTTCAAGTTGGGCATCTATTTCTATTGTTGGATTCCCCAAATATTCCTTTGTTTCCCGAACCCACGATTTCACAGAATTGATGTGAGTCTCCACCGCATCCCGGTCCTTCAGCTCCTGCTTCAGCAGCTTCCCGCTGCGCCTCACCTCCTCCTGCAGGCTTTACAGGGAGAGAGCGGACAGGGAGTGAGCTGGAAATGAAAGGAAGCCCCTAGAACACAGCACTGCACTATCAGAAAAGGATGTTTGCGTTTGCCAGATAAATAACTGAAGAGCTGAGAAAAATGGAAAGCAGGGGTGATGGGAACAGATCCTCCTCATTGTAAGGTGGCGTGATGGAGCACCCCCAGACTCTAAAGCCACGCTCCTCCCTTTGGGTCATGGCCAAGTTCAGCGACAGAGAATGAGAGGTGTGTAATTACCTCAGGCACCGGTCTTGCAGGGCTGTGATTTCCCGCATAACAGGTGGCTCTTCCCCAGGGGATGGCGTGGCCCCGTCCGGGAGCATGCTCAGCGCTTGCTGCCTCAGCATGCCCAGGGCCGACTGCTGCTGTTCCAGCTCCAGGGTGAATGTGTCATGATGTTCCAGCAGAGTTAAGAGTTCTGCATGGGAGGCTTTCTCTGCTGAACATCCCGGTAATTTATCTTGCAGCTGATCAATCATTTCGGTGGCTTTTATAACCTGGTGAAAAATGCATGTACTATGAAGCTCAAAAATAAATTGAAAAACTGGGGCAATGCCCATGAATGCCACATTTGACACTAATGCACCAAAGCTCATTGAAGATGATGGTGTAAACTCTAAATTTCAGGAAACTGAAACCCGGACAATCTTCTAAACATGAAAGGAAAGGCTATCTTTATAATCCTGCGCTTAAAGCTTTAAAATCAAGATAATATCAGGGCACTCAGAGACTGCATATCATAGAAAAAGTTTTGTGGGTTTTTTTAACTAAAAGACAAATGAAAAGCTCTCTCTATTATTCAAGTGAACACAAGTTATAAAGGAAGATGAGACTTAAAATATTAAATCCCACTTAAAAGATGAAAGAAATTAACATAGGACTTGGGAAATGAGTTAAATTCCTGCGTATTTCCACGGTAAAGAAAAAGCATTTTGACATTTTTGGGGGCCAGGTAAGAAAGTTTCACTAAGATTTCGGCAAATGGAGGAAGGTGGTGTGTCCCCCTTCAAAGTTTAGTTTCTTGGTTTTCTAATTAAAATAATTGGACCCTGACTTGGGACTAAATTGCACATTGCACACTGCATACTGTTTCACAGTTTGGGTTTCATGTCATTGAAACAGTGATGAAAAAAAAGCTTTTAACTTTCATAAAGCCAATTTTTTTTTAAAAAAAGAGCAAGAGCAAGATACTGCTTTTCAAAACACATGATCACCAGGGAGGAAAGAATCACTTGAGCCCATCAATACAGGACATTACCTTATTGTTGAAATTCTTCCACTCATCCACTGCATCTTCCAGGATCTTCTCCTGGTCCTGGGCCACAGCCCGGAGCCGGGCCCAGCGCTGCCAGACTGTGGTCATCGACCTGCCTATGGTTGCTTTGCTTGCGTCGTTTCCAACTTTTTCCAGCTGTGAAACTTTACCCTCTAGGGCCACAATTTTCTCGTGGAAAGAATGAACCAATGACACTAAAGCCTAAAGGTAGGGGAGGAGAAAAGGGGTGGGGGAGAGATTTTTTTCAAAAGTTCTATGGGTTTGGGTAAAGCCCAAAATTACCTTGCAAAAGGAAATGTTCCAACATATGTTCTTTTAACTCTGGTAGCTCTCACCTTGACACTGCATGCTTAATTGAGTCAGGCTTCAATTTTTTAAAAAAGGGAAGGTGAAAGTTTATTTATGAAAAATGAAAGTTTATTTGCTACTTGAAATGAAATCCTCCCATTTTTAAAAAGCAGCAAAAACATAAGGGAACTGAATTTAGTATTTTAGGATGTTACATTCTACCTTATATTGCCGTGACATATGAGAGCGACTCAGCTATTAATTTCATTTATTTTTTGTTAATTCTCACCCCGAAGATATTTTTTTTATTTTTAGAGAGAGTGGAAGGGAGGGAGGGGGAGAGAGACACAGAGAGAGAGAAACATTGATGTGAGAGAGAAACACCGATTGGTTGCCTCCCACACACATTCCAACTGGGGCCAGGGAATGAACCTGCAACCCAGGTACATGCCCTTGACTGGACTCGAACCCAAGACCCTTTGGTGCTCAGGCAGACAATCTAACCACTGAGCCACACCAGCCAGGGCTCAGTTATTAATTTTTAAATTGTATTTGAATTAATCTAAGCTATCACCAGAAAGTATTTACTGGAATTCACTGTGTCATACTTTATCAGAAGCATTGCTCTGACTGTCTTTTTAAACCCAGCCATGCATTTCCAACTGAAACCCTAAAAACGTGACAACATTTAATTAAGTTAAAACTGTGAAGCGTAGCTAATGTACCCTTTTCATATTTAAGGAAGCCAGGTGGAAATGAAGATGTATTGACCTGATTCTGGAACTATCTTATTACAGAGACCCATTACAAAGACAATCAAAGGACATTAAAAACATCAACAAAATTAACCTTGTGTTCTGACAATTTTTCTCCTGCTTCATGACTGGAAGACGTCTTCAACAAAGAAAATCCAGACAATTTCTTTTCTGCATCATTCATCAGTTCGATAACCTCTTCCCTTGCTTTCTGGTAATCCTGCCACTGAGCTGCACACCTTGAAAAAATCCAACAAAAGTCAATAAGCAATTTCAAATCACAATTACACATTTCTGTGCAAAGCTCTTATGTCAGTATGTCTGAAGGTACTTAAGAGAGCAGAATGAATTTATGTGTGGAGGTACATTGTTAATATATTACTGTTTTCTGTGTGAAAATTCATTTCAAAACATCATATTTTACTAGAATTTAGAGATGGAAACAACTCCAATACCTCTGCAAGAGCTCTAACTGGGTGTGTGAGTCCTGGATTATCCTTCGGCTCTTCTCCTCCAGGGAAGTCATCTTCTGAGCTAGGTCCTCTTTTGCAGTTGACTTGATGAGTGGGTCCAGGTTGGCTACCAGGCCTCGGAGCTCCTCCAGGTTACTCTGGAACTGATCCTCTGCACTAAAAAATTCTGTGTGGCTTTTGAGATTTTCCTCTGCACTCTCCACGTCGAGGCCGTTGCCTGCCAGCTGTAGCATTTCATGGGCATCCTCAAGCCAGTCGCTCGCTGCTTGAAACACTTGATAGTACCTTTGACATTGACTATATATTTGAGTCAATGTAGCCTGAAACATAGTAATTACACAAACAATCAACCCTCAATTGGAGTGTGTTTGCAGGAAATATTTTAATTTTTCCATTTCTTTCCCAGTCCTTTGTCATGTGGATGTATGCGTATAGGTGAATTAAAAAGATGGTGGAATTTTTGTGGTGTAATCCATTATTTCCTTTATTTTTCCTTCTGCTAATCTTGCTATAATTTTGTTATTATAGATGAAATAAGTAAACAAGGACAGAAATAAAAATAGAAATTTATACTGGTATCTTGACTAATTCTAGGACTTCCCTCTCTCATATATGTATGTTACAACGTATATGTAATGCTTAGTAATATGTGGAAGACTGAATATTTACCAAAGTGAAATACTGCCTCAGCTGGTTAGAAGTGTAATAACACCCGTGGACTGTAAACCAGTACAGCCACTGTGTCAGTTCCTCAAGAAATTCAATAGAGCCACCACAGCATCCAGCAATCCCACCTCTGGGTACTTATCCAAAGGAAACGAAATCGTCATCTTAAAGAGATATATGCCCACGTCCTATGCATGCTCTCATTTCTTTGTTATCCCCAAGTGAAGTCATGGTGATTTTTCGTCTTGCTTCTGCGGTCCCGCAGGGAAGCAAGAAAAGCTGAAACACTCCTCCCTGAGCAAGGGGTGAAAGATGGGGCAACTGATGGAAGACCCCAGAATGAAATGTGGTTCAGCCTCGGGGCCGGGGTAGCAGCATCCACCTGCCTCTCTCTACTTGGAGAGTCTCCATCCATGCTAATCTTAGCAACGCCAGGTTTCACAGTGTTAAGAACAAGCATCACTAATTATCCATGGCTAATTATTTTATTTTATTATTCATGTACTCACGATGGTATTCATTCTATTAGTGTATTTATTACCTCTCGTAAAGGTAATCACTAAAGTGAGGTCAACGTGGAAATCATGTGAAATGAGTACCACGTCCATAAACAATAAAAACACCCTTTTGAGCCACTGTTGAAGATGATTCTACGTAGTATCAAAAAAGAAGTATTTAAGGAAGCAGTTCTGACCAAAAAACAAAACAAAAGCAAAGCAATGTCTCACCCGCGCTCACAAGTGAGCAGAGTGGGAAAAGGCAAGAGGAGCCCCTGACACCCACCTGTCTGGCGCGCAGAGCCTCCTGAATGGCCCCGTCCAGCTCCGCAAGTTCGGCCAGGGACTGCTGCAGGTCGGCGGGAATGAGCTCCTTGGCTTTCGCGGACTCCTCCTTCTCCTTGACGCTCAGGGCATTCATTATCCGCAGGCTGGACTGCACCTCTTCCTGATGAATCTGCACCTTCCTGATCTCCTCCTGGATGTCCCGGAGGTTCAGGTCCAGGCTCACGGGCCCACTCAGCTCTGTCTTCACGCTCCTCAGCCAGTGCAAGGAGCGGCTCAGCTCTGTCTGGAAGTCTATGCTCTGCACCATGCGGCTCTCGCACTCTGTCACTGTCGCACCAATGGCCGAAGTCAACAGCTTTAAGTCCTCCTGCCAGGACTGGATCTGGTGCTTGGCTTTCTCGTAAGCTGAGGGGTCCAGGTGTGGAACAAGATCTTCAAGATGCATGGTCACTCGTTTCAGCAGGATCCCTGCGTCCTGAAGGCTTCCGGCCAGGGCGTGATACAGCTTGAGCTTGTCCTCTGGGGAAAGCGTCTCCTCATTTACTTTGGACTGCTCTGCTCTCGCAGCCTCCAGCTGTTTCTGCAGCTGGTGGCACATTGTCTCGTGTTCTTGGTAAGCGCTGGTGGTGTCCTCTAATAAGCTAACCCTTTGCTCCATTTGTCGCTTCAGCCTGTGGTACGAGGTCACAAGCTGCAGCATCCTGTCTGGCTGCCAAGGCTGCCCTGTGCTGCGAAAACTTTCTTTCTTCTGGTTCAGTTCATCCACGGCTTCCCCGAGGCCTGTCACCTCTCCCAGGAGAGCCCTGCAACCATCCTGAAGACACAGAGCCTCCTCCACCCTCAGGGCGGCGGGGACTTGGCTCATCTTTAAGAACTGGTCTTCGAGGTCACTCAGGGACTGGGTGGTCAACTCAATCAAGGAGGCGTATTCCTTCCGAGCGAGGATTGCTTCTTGGATCTTGTAGAACTTGTCTTTGGCCAAGGCAACAATGACGTTAAATTGCAGGGGCAGGGCGTTGAGCTTCTCATTGAGGTAGGAGTGGTCGACTTCGTTCAGCGACGGCAAGATGGCCTGCCCCGTCCTCTGGAGTGTGAGTAGGAGATTTTCATATTCTGGAGACTGCTCAAGAATGTGCTGGTATTTGGCTAGCTGTGTCTGAAGCTCTGAGCTCTCATTCATTAGGTTGATTTCAGGAAATGTAACAATATCTGCTTGTTTCAGCCAGTGACAGGCTTTATCAAAATCCTCCTTAAAATGCTTCCTAGAAACTAAATTTTTCTCCAGTTCTTGTAGCCTGTGGCTGCACTTCTGTAAGACAGTGTCGTAGACACTCTGCAACTCCTGGAGCTTACCCAGGACTTCGCCCTTCTCCTGCTCTGTGGCTCCCTTCATTAGGTCCCGGCCCTGGGCCCAGAGTCCGCTGACCTCGCTCTGGTACGTCTTGAGGCTGGCCTGAGCGCTCTTGCACGTTTTAACTTGCTTGCTCACGTCATCGGGGAACAGGCAGATGTGCTCACGGAACGTTATCTTCCGCTCGTGCTGCTGGATTTGGCTGGTCGCCTGGAACACGGCCATGAGAAACTGGGTTTTCTCCGACAAGGTCTTGTTCAAGTACTTTCGTCTCTGGCCCACTAAGTCGCTGAGGCAGTTCACGTGCCTTTGCGCATCGGAGAGCGCCCTCTGGATGACCTGCCGCTCGTTCAGGCCAAGATCTGCCATCACCCTGTCCGCGTCCTTCGTGAGTGACTTCAGGAGCATCTGCTTGGCCTCCAGGTCACTGCAAATGGCGAGGTGATCCATGAGTTGGTTTGGAGCCACATCGGGCGGGGGGCTCTGCTGGAGGGCTTCGGCAACGTTGGGCTGCTGCTCTTCCGCCCACTCCATCAGCTCCTGAAACCTGGCCCGCACCGCATCCAACTCCTCCAGGTTGGTGACCGACACTTGGATTTTCCTTTTAACAAGGTCCTCCAGCTGAAACCAGCGCTGTTCGAGGTGACTCGTCTGTTCTTTGACTAATTCTCTGTCATCTAGATTCAGATGCTCTATCATTTTCTGCTTTTTGTCTTTCAGATCTTCAACGGCCTGCTTTCTCTCCTGCAAAGCCAACGCCAGCTTTTTCAAAGCTTCCAGGTGGACAGCGGTGCTCTCTGCATCGGATCTGTAAATATACGGAAGACATCAAAGCAGATTAGCCAACGCAAAATCTCTACTCTTTCATACCACGTTACATTACATTTCCTCAGTTCCTTTAAGAGGGTGCTCTTAGCTTGGACTTTACTGACCCAGGTGCTGTATTTATTATGGAATGCAAGACCCATATATTGCTATATCAGAAGTTGAGCCAAAACAAATAACCTCGATATTCCTTCCCTACACTTCTTCTGGCTCCTACTGCCCTCCCAACACATCTGAATCGTACTTTTAGCTTCTTTCTCTGGCCCTTACAAACTGAGCAAAATCTGCATATTTACAAGATCCCTGGATGATTTGCGTGAACACTAGCCATTGAGAAGCACTGCGCTACTGCGCTCTTGAAAATGGCACTTACAGAGATTAATAAGTGGCCCAGGATGTATGTGCTTTCCTGCGAGAAGACACTCCAGCAAACAACAGCGCTGGACAGGGAATCCGCAAGACATAACCGGGGCGCCCTCAGCTACTCACTTAGATAGTTTTGGTTTATGATTAGAAATCTTTAAATATAAGTGTGAAATGCACAGAATTCTTATCCTTTTGACTACAAACACATGAGACAATGACATCTTTCTCTTTCATTTATAAAACAATCAGTTCAAACTATGAGGAACAGGGCTGGGAGGCAGTGTGATGAGTTCTATTTGGGACCTATTAGGTCTGAGATGCCTGAGGGCCAACCAGGGGGAGGTGCCTATTATAAGCCTGAAATATGGGTTTTTGCTGATATCGACTAGATTTACTCCAAAGACCAGTAAAATACTCAGCATTATGGAAAAGTTCTGTAAACAAACTAGAAAATAGTGTACCTTCTTCAAAAAAACCCCACTTGATTTAACTCAACCTAGAATTATGTATTCAGTTTTAATTGCTGCAAATCAATAGATTTGGACAGAGGGCATGCAGATTTTACTACTTCTAGTGATCAGAAGCATAGAAAGATTTCTACATGAAGGCCCAGTGTGTGGGGGAGGGGGAAGGGAATTCTTATTTTTCACAGGAAAAGCTAAAATCACAAATGGCACATATAATTGAATTTGGCTTGTGTTAACTTCTAGAATGCCACAAACAAATGCAAGACAAAACCTGACCGAATTACATAGAATCATTCCTTTATAGGCTGATAAGAAGGCTATGCAACATAAAGATTTATTTCACTAATTCATAGGTGACAGCATCATAATTGGTAATTAAACAAAATCTGAAACATCCTTGGAATCTGCTTTGAGGTCACAGAGGAAAACGGTGCTGTTTTCAAACACTTTTCCTTTGACCCGCTGGTTAAATTAACAGTGAGCAAGGAGAACCACGGCTCTGCATCCCCATGACAACATGCATTTCTTAAAGCTGCTTTACCAATATTAATAATGACAGACAGTAGAGGTTAACATAAGAAAGACCTTTTGTGGTTTTATAGACGTTGATAAACGTCTGCCTTGGTATTTTGGAGGTTCCCTGGAGAGCTGCTGTTACCTGGCTAAGTTATCCCACTCTGTAGTAAACTTTTCCAAGAACACCTCGACGACACTCATGCAGTCATGGTAATCTCTTGTCCTCTGAAGGTCTTCTTCCCTTTGCAAGCACAGGTTGTTGGACTGAAGGCACAGATCCTGCCACTGGTCGTTCAGGTGACTTATTTCCTTGTGCTCAGGAGACTCCTGCTCCCTGGTTAGCGCATCCACCTTTTCCGTAATAGCCGTCACCGACGCCTGCTTACACTGCAGCTTCTTAACAAAATCCTAAAGGTAGTAACAACGACAAATAGGTAACGTGCAATAAACTCCCCAAATATAGAGAGTTAGGCACAGATGTAACACATCTGACACTTTAAATCACTAAGGCATGTATACTGAATGGGTCATGCGGGACAGACTAAAAATTATCATACCTCTTTCTGAGTACAAATTTCCAAGTGTACAAGAGCCAACTGTGGTGTTTTCTTTTATTGTGCAATTTTGAACGGTATAAAGAAAAACTGAGAAATGTGAAACAATATTATAGTCACTAAGGAAAAAAGTTAATATTTCGTATTAAAGCGTAGCCTTAGTTTCCTAAAAACTTTTGAAGTTCATGCTTTTGAGAAAAAAATGCCATCTCTTTTTATGTCATCTTGTTTGTTCTGAGTATGCAAACAATATTTCAGTAGAAACTATAAACAGCTAACTCTCACAGAGAAAAGATAAACCTTAAAGTTTGTTAAAGATCTGGTACAACTTCCAATGACGTTAAAGTAATCTTCTATTAAATTGTGAGTAAATATGGAATAGCAATTATATTTCTATTACATTTTAAATTAATTATATATTAATTAATATATATTTTATATATTAAATATATATGTAACTGATTGGCACATTTACAGCCCTACAGCTTCACCGATGCTGTGATGAAAAGATGCTCAGTGATGAGGGCTTGTGTGTGCTTAGTGGCAGAGGCTCCTGGCTCTGTCAGCTAAACCACAGCTGACTTGTTTAGGAACAAAGTATAGAGAGAGGGTCCTTGGATGCAAGTAGACAATTGGAATTTCAATAAAATATTTAGATGTTTACTTTCACTTTTTAATTTATTATTTTGTTTTTCAATTACAGTTGACATTCAATATTTTATGCATTTCAGGTGTACAATATAACTTCTGAAGCGATCCCCCCCATAAGTCCAGTGTGCACCTGACACCATACTTAATTATTACAATATTATTGGCTATATTCCCTATGCTGTACTTGACAAATGTTTACCTTCTGACCTGTCCTTTCCTGGCACCAAAGGAAGGTTGTTCTGATTCTATTTTATTCCTTAGGTAGCTATGCTAATGTTTAAGGACTGACAGACACACTGAAGACCCATTTGGGTCTTCTGTGCCTCCCCTAGAGACCCATGCATTCCTACCTTTACTTGGGAAACCATGTTCTGTGCAATATTGAGCTCCAGTTCTGAGTGCCTCCGCTTCATATTCTGCAGTTGCTGATCGGCGTCCTGGAGGTAAATCCAAAGCTCAGCCTTCATGTGCTTGACCTCTTCCCAGCCCTGCGTTAAGTCCTGTGCCTGGGCAAGCCTCTGCTCAATCTTGAGAGAACACAGGCAAAAGTCAGGGGTAATAAATAAAACATTTATGTCCAGTGAATCAGAGATGCAATTCTTAGCCTGTCCATGTACACAGGCCAACACACATGCACGCATGTGCACACATGCATGCACCTATGCACGTATAGTCACCCCCCCAACACACACGCTGTGATAAATCCACAAAGAATTCTTTTTTTGCTTCAAGAAAAGCAGATTTTCTTTTCATATTTAGGTTTTCTAAGGACTTTCCATGTCTAAGATGTGCCATACGATTTCAATCAGTATTGCGAGGTTATAAGAGGTTTTAACAGTTTATTAGGTCAAAAGCTGCCCTAATGGTTTTTCACATCGGGCGTTTTCAACATCTGACTAACTCATGAATGTAGTCTTGGGGTTCACTAGAAAAGACCTTGTTTTCTATTGTACACCTGTTGTTACTTCTCATAAAACACCGAGTTGTTAATGTTTTAAAAATATTTTTAGATCTGCCTCACTGGGTTTTGAAGCCACATAATTAATTTCAATGAATCACTTCTATAAAAATAGATGAATTATTGCATTTTCATAAGAATTTAAAGATGAACTTGGTTTGATAATAGAATATACAAGGGAAGGGAAAAACCTACATTATTTTAAGACATTTCTTGCTTTGGGTGATTTTACTATTCTGTAAATATTTAATCAATTAAAAACCAAAACCAAGTATTATTTTTCTTTTAAACCCAGAAGTATTAAAGAGTGTAAGGCAGTGGTGGCAAACACGTGGCCCAGTGCTGCCACCATCACAGCCTTGGGCACTGAGCCCAGGTGCAGCTTCAGAATCCCTCTGGACACCACACTCAGCCGCTGCCAGGGGACTAGCAGGCTCTTTGCCAGCCCTAACATAAAGCAGGGATCGGGGACCCCGTCCGCATTAAGTATTACCTAAATAAAAAGATGAACAGGAGAAAACAAAACAAATGGGTGGGAAAATAGAAAAAGAGAATGGTAATTGAGAAAAAAAGAAACGCTAATAATTAACTGATCAATGGGACTAAACGTTTCAGCTCCAATTCAGTGGCACTAGGATCAGAGTGTGCTTACTTTTCTGTGACTTAGTTGAAATTCAAATATCTATTCAGTATAATCACAGGAGGAGCTTAATTCAAGGAGGTATTTTCCTTAAATGTCACATCACACATTCAAGAGAGAGACCATAAGAAAACAGCCAAGTCCAATGTGGCTTAAACGTTTTACCATTTGCTCTGTTTGTTGAATATCCTTGGCTGTGGTTTTCACTGAAGAGTTGGACAAGTCGCACATGGAGCAAAGGAGATCCAAGTAGGTCCTTGCCTGCTTCTGCAAAGCTCTGAAGTGTTTGACCTAAAACAAACACACTTGTCAGAGTGGGAGAGATGATGCTATATTTAGACAGCAAGTCTTTGGGCCACATTTGGACCAACACTATTTTGTTGACATTTCAAAAATAATTTTGCTGGGTTCAGTACTTACAACTTTTGTTGTAAATGACACGTACTAGTGACCCGTACAAAGAATTCAAAATACACTGACAGGGAGCCTTTGTCCATCAATTGCTGCTCATTGTTCAAAAGTCTGTACGGTCTGGGAAACAGAAACACCCAAGAAACTCCTATAGTTTTTCCTGATTTTCTGCTCACATTCTAATGGTTTTCTGTTTCAGAGAAAGAATATTATTCTTTTCTAGCCTGCTTCTCAGCATGTTTTCACATAATCTGGAGACATAAGGAAAAGGTCACTGTGCATTTGCAGGCTTCATTGGAGTTGAACAAAAATGCAGATGGCAGAACTCTTTCTTTCTGCGGAAAGTTCCAGAAAGGTATTTCCCGGTGGATCATTAATCTATACACACAAACCTGGAGAAATGTGTTTCTTTGAAGATTGTCGGATATGTGAGCTCTGTTTCAGATAATGGGCACAAAGCAGTATATGAAACAAAACCTTTGTTCCCATGGGGCTTAGATTCCTATGAGAGGGAGAGGCAGGGGTCAGACAGGTGACCGGTTGCTGGTCACTGCAGGCGTCAATGAGAAGGGCTGACAGCCTGAAGGAGGGTGGTGGGCGGTACAGATTTTGAGAAGTGGTTCTCTCTCACTACTTATATTGATAAATCTTGAAGGTGGAATTTAATAAAATGGAAGTTGTATAGAATAAAGTTGATCTACAGAAACATTAGGTGATTTCCCAAAATCATAGCCAATAATGAAGCTTAATTTTTTTCACTCCTACTTAGTATCTTTTCCTCAGAATTATATAGATTACTAAACACACCATTCTTGTGTGGATATAATAAATATAGATCCATTTCCCATTAAGTCAAAAGTAGCATCTGAATTTTTATCCAGTGTACAAACTGGTATTTCACTTCTAGTTAATATCATTATCATTAGTCACCCCAGTATGTACCTGTGACCCAGAGAAAGTACCTGTCCCAAACAGCTTTTGGAAATGAGAAGATAAGCTATCAGATTTTTATTTTATTTTATAAATATATTTACTTTAGAAGAATAATGATTTAAGATTTATATAGTTGACCTGATTCTAAAAGCAACGGGAAAGTTCATAAACTGTCAGTGACAAAACACTTGCCAAAGATTTTTGCTAAAATTTATAATTTCAAGGGCAAATCTAATAGTACTTTTTTTCCATTCCCCCAAATTCACATGTCATGCTTAAAACCTATGGCATTCTTAAAGTAATCAAATCAGCATGTCATTTTCTTATGGTGGTGGGGGGCATATTATCACTATATGTTTCTTGTTTACCAGGTAGGAGATACTGGGGATACACCACACATTGTGGGACCTTGACCAAAATGCCACTGCAGCTTGTCAAAGCCTGACCCCAGTCTGACACCATCTGAAGTTGCCATGTTGTCAGCGGTGGAATTTTCTAGTCACTCATCTGAATGAGCCAACAACTGGAGTCAAACTCAGACCTTAGTTTTACAGGCATACCTCAGAGATACTGCAAATTTTGGAAAGTATCACAAGAAAGCAAATCACACAAATTATTTGGTTTCCAGTGCACATAAAAGTTTTCTCTAGCCCATACTGCAGTCTAATAAATGAGCATAGCATTATGTCTAAAAAAATGTACACACCTTAATTAAAAAACACTTTATTGCTAAAAAATGCTAACTATCATCTGAGTCTTTAGTGAGTCATAATCTTCTTGCTGATGGAGGGTTGCACCTTCAATTTGTAAAAACTCAGTATCTACGAAGCCCAGTAAGTGAAGTACAATAAAACGAGGCATGCCTGTGCTTTGATATCCCTGGCAGCCACCACAGTTTGGCACGTAATACGTACTTAACATATTTCCATTGTATGTCTGAATGAATCATGTAACATAACATAAACTTTCAGGAGTCCAGTACCTGCTTCATGGCTTCTGCCCTGCTCAGAGGTGGCAGGGGGCTTGGCTTTACATCTGGTTGGACGGCAGAGAGCCAGGCCTGGCATTGCTGCAGAGTGTCTTGGCGACTGACATGCCTCTGAAGTTCATGTTCCAAACTCTGGTACACCTGAAACAGAATAGTCATGCCACAGCTGTGAGGGCTGTTTTATACCTCTACAAACATCCTTGGAATCAAAGGAAACACGTCCACAAGTCCACTGAAGTAGATTTCTCCCCCGTGACTCCCCAGCACCATACACATAGCAACAGTGTTTTCATATGTTCCAAAAGGTTGCAAAGCACCATTGCCATCCCCAGTTCATAACTTCCCAATCCACACATTACAATATGAATCCTAATTAGGGAAAGAGAGTGTGGGCAGGGTTCATGTAACTGGAAATGTGTTAGAATACATAAAATCCCTAAAGTAAATTGTTAAACTTAGATCAGAGTTTCTGTGGCTTCCCCATTGTGGTATACAAATTTCAGTTTTTGTTTAAGCTAGAAACTAAAAGTAAAAATAAAATGCCATGTCATGAAAAGATAAACAATATTTCTCTAATGGAAATGCCGGATGACATTAGTTGACCCCCTAGACTGAGGAATTCACCTTCAAAAGGTTAACTAAAAAATAGAATAAAGTAATCTAATAAATAATTTTAGATGATAACAAAGGAGGAAAAGGGAGTGAAACACGGTTATATAAGGATCAAATCAGCGATTTAGAGAACAAGAGGACAGTAATCACCAAAGCAGAGCCACAAAAAGAAAAGAGTTTTTTTAAAAATGAGGAAAGGCTAAGGGATCTCTGGGACAACATCAAATGTAACAACATCTGCATCATAGGGGAACCGGAAGGAGAAGAGAGAGAGCAAGGGATTGAGAACCTGTTTGAAGAAACAATGGCTGAAAACTTCCCAAACCTGGTGTGCTTCATCTTTGTTAAAAGGGCAATTCTTATCCATCTCAGACTTATTTCAATAACATTAGGGATTCCATTTTAGCATAATTCATTGCACTCATTAAAATATAACTCAAAATTGGTACTTATTCTTTTTGTCAATTTCTATATAAATTCATAAAAATATTAAATTAGAATAAAACCTAAGCTGCATAGAGTTAGAAAATAATTATTCTGGAAATTACAGAATAACCTTATTTTGGTGTTACAGAATAAATGGCAAATTAGAAAAAAGTATTGGTGAGGTGCAAATAAAAACAAAACGAAATTTAAATAAATTTGATATTAATTCATGGAATAAAGGGGTCGGGTAAAAGCAAATGTCTGGAACTCACTTCTTTGTCACAACAATCAAGTGTACAGGACGTTAGTTCTGTGTCCACATGGAGACCAAAACCTATGCTCCTGTCTGGACATACAGCAGAACTATCCCAAAGACTAAAGCATCAAGACTATTTTTACAGACCTCTAGACGGCACAGGCTTTCTCCTTGACTCACAATCATTCCAGAGCGTGCCAGTGGTACTCACCCTCTGGGCTGCACTGCAGATTGCAGAGTAACTATCCTTTGTGCCCTGCAGACGCGCGTGCACATTTTGTTTAAGTTTTGCTTGGAGGTGCTCTGCGCATTGGCTGATCAAATTGTCGCCTTTGACTTTCAGGTTGTTCAGACGGTCTTCAAAACCAGCAATTTCTTCCATCATTGCCTACAAAAAAGAAACAGAGTTCTCACAATTCCTCTTTTAGCCTTTAAATAACCTATTAAAAAGAAGGCTTAAGATTAAAATTTCACTGTTTGATATAATTTTGAAAAAGTTTTGCAATTTATCTTGGTTAGCATATAGCAAAAGAAAAAGAAAAAAGTATGTTTCAGGAACACTCCAATGGGAAGAATTAATGAATTTCATAGATTAAGTTACATAGGGATGAAGAAACCTTTTAGGGCGAGAGTGAGTTCATGGCTGATCTCAGAGAGCTATGTGCTCCACAGTATTATCATTTGAGAAAGGATGTTTATAAAATTTTCAGCTCTATAAATTATAATTCTGGTATAATTTATATTTAAAATAATCTAATTACTATTTAATTTACTAATATCCAATTTCTTTAATAATATAACATCTGATTTATATAACAATCTAACATCTAATGATTATATTATATAATATCTAGTTTATATCAAATAATATTTATATTAATAAAAATAATACTTACCACTTACCATTTATTAAGTACTTGCTATAGTGCAGGAACTATATATAAGTCCTGAGAAATATGTATTATCATCATTGTTTTACAGATGAGGAGACTAAAGCACAGGGAGGTTATAGACACACTCAAGGTCACACAATTAGTGAATGGCAGGGCCCCAGGCTTTGGACCCCGCTCTGCCTGACTTCAGCTCATATACACCCCCATCCCCACATCTGTTCTCTACTGAGCTTTCCCAGAGAACACTTAGAAAATAGGAACCAACTTTTTCAATCAGGTTTTAATTTCCTTACTGTTATACGATACTAATGGCAAGTGACACATTCCAGCACAAGGTCTCCTGGGTGGACACATCAATATGTCTGAGGGAAACCCAGAGGTCCCTCAGCAGCCTGGAGTCCATCACATTTTCCAACAGTGCTGCGTTAATGGTTACTACGTACATCATATTGAAAAGAACCATTCTGTCTGCGTGTTAGGATAGTCACTGCATCATGAGGATATTCAGGGTGCTACCTCAGTGCCTAGTAGAATATATCATGTAATTAATTTTCTATTCATATTTTCTAAATAAAATTTTCTCCTACAGACAGGGATCCTAAAGCCCAGAGACGTGAAGGGCTTTCCTAAGACACACCACTAGACTTTGACTATATCAGGACTAAAATTCAGTTTCTTATTACTGTGAGCAAGATTGCTCCATGAAATTGTGACCATATGACAGCTGTCACCTGGCACATTAATTACTAAAAATACATGTGAGTGAAAATAAAAATGTCTCATATCAGTACCATAGTTTGTGATTTACAAAATGTTTTCACAATTATCTCCTGTGATGTCCTCAACAGCTATGTGATGGGGCTGATATCATCACCTCCCTCTACAGAGGAGAAGGAGAGGAGGCTCAGACTTGTGCACTTGACACCTGTACAGTTTTGTTAACCAGTGTCACCCTAAAAAATTCAATGAAAAGGATTTTAAAAAGGTGGAGGTTCAGAGAGGCTAAGTTCTCCCAGCTAAGAAGGAGAGAGTCTGGCTGGAATCCAGACTTTCTGACTACTATTTCTGTATCCTATCTTTGGCTGTACTTTCCTAAATTAAAGATAATCTCTTTGATAAATTATTCCATAAAGATTAAATTTTGCAATAAGAAACTATTAGCTGGGGAAAATGCTACAGTGTGTTCACAGTTGAATGCCAGGATTCAGCTATTGAGTCACTTAAATATTGAATTCAGCTGTTCTCAATTATCAGACGTTCTCAAGCCTCAGACCTGATTCTTCAATCCTTAAAATCCAGAGATGCGAGTGTGCGCGCGCACACACACACACACACACACACACACACACGGGCAAGGCTTTGAAAGCTGTCCTGTATTCTTCAGCTCTTTAGAGACCAGACGTACCTTGTGGTGGGCCAGTTGCTGGGTGATTGTCTCTAGGCTGCTCGTCTCCATGAGGTCAGGTGCCACCAGCCTGCCTGACATCTGCAGCAGCCACTTTTCTACTTCCTGGAGCTCACTGTTGTAATCTTCATGGTCTTTGACCTTCACCTCGAGACTGTGAACATGCTCCTGTGAAGCCAGGTGCCCGTTAGAGATGACTTTCAAGCCAAAAAAAAAACTACTCAAAACTTTTATATTTTGAAAAGCCCAGTGCAACTCATAGGGTAGGTAGGGTTACATATATCACAAAATTACTGGGATCAGAAAAAACAGAAAAAAGGCATTATGCCATCTGAATAAATGGAAAAATACCCATCCTAGCCCTTAAATTTTTTCTGACAGAGAAAAAGGAGTCAGGATCCCATTTTGGCAAATAAACACACTTCGCATTGAGTTTCTGATGTCCCCTTACCTTTCCTGCGCTGCAGAGGCCCTGATAATCACTCTGAAGCTTCTCTATCTTGTCCTTCAAAGTAGCATCCTGCACCAGTTCCAGAAGAGCATCTCCTTTCTCTCTCACCGATTTCACTGATGGCTCGTGGGACAGCACTATTTGTTGAAGTGACTTGAATTACAAAGAAAAAAGAAAGCCAGCTCATCTGTGTGATCAAGGTGGATATACCCTTGAGACCTGATACTTATTTTATAAATCTATAAATGTTAAAACATTAAAGCAAATGGTTTTTATGGATAATGTAGTTTTTAAACACATCAAATAGTGTGGAGGAGGGACTGTGTTTGGCTAAATTGAACAGTTTCTATTTCCAGCATCCACCCCATTCCTCGTTCCTCTCAGCAGAGGAAAACACTCAACAGAAAACGAGGCACTGTCTTTTTATTTTGAGTTCATGGAGCTAGTGGCAGCTTGAAGTGCATGAAAGTTAGGGAGGCAAATTCCAGCTGCAACGCTGCTGTACAGGCTCACAGCACTATTTAAATACATCAAGAGCTCAGTGGTTCAATGACACGCTGTCAGACTCGGCAGAAAAGCCCAGGAAGGGAACAGACATATTGGCTGGAGGAAAACATTCCGACAGGGAAAGCTTTGAGGTAAGTCAGCTCACAGCTCGTAAAGACTACCGTTTAATCATTCAGGTGAAATTTAGAACACAAATTATTCGGCTGATAAACTTCCATAATTGTTTCAAACATTTGAACAGGTGAAATCTCTCTCTCTATATATATATATATCATGTATAGCTAGCTATTATATTCACACCACCATTTATTCTTTGAAAAACTAACTTCCAAGATGTTTAGCTATAGTTGATTAATTAGAACTTACTTTCTTACAAATATTGTATCTCATTTTAAATTAAACTTATAGGCCTTGGGTACCCAACGATGAAGGGTACCCAACATGAGAGAGATGAAACCTATAGGTGTGAGATCCTGACGCCAGGAAGATTTATCTGAGGGATCCCTATAACTGGATCACACTGTGAGAACAGCTCTCCATTCATTGACACAATCATGGAATATCAGGCAAGTATCATTCCTGGGTGGAAATATAACTTGGATGTACTGTATCTGGCCAAATAAATCTGTATCTCTCACCCCAGTAGATAGACATGTTATAGATGTTTTCCACCCCCCACTGACGGACACGCCAGGAATCCTCTCCCTGCCACCCGGTCCCCTTATGGTCCTCCTGCACTTGTCAGTGAACAACAACACACTACCTTGTATTTAGATAACTGAGCTTTCTTCTCATATAACTCCATTTTGGGCTCTTCAGGAGCCTGTAGGATTTCTTGATATTCCTCTATCCACTGCGTAAGTGCTTTGTATTTATCTGAGAATTCCTTGGCTAAGTGGAGGCCTTTCTCCAGAGTCATGTGCTCTTTCCGAACAGTGCTGGTCAGCTCGTTCAACTGCTCCACGTGACCGTGGATCTCGTTTCTTAAAGTGTCTGCCTCGCTGTCCTCCAAGAAGGCCAGTGCCCTCTCTCCTTTCTCCCGGGCCGATTTCAGCAAACTGTGGCCTTTCTCCATGTCTTTTAGCAATCCCTGAGAAAGAGAGAGAGTAGGAAGCCAATACTGAGTTAACCTTATTTCTTCTTTTTAAAAAGACGACTTAGAAGCCCCATTCTTGAGTCCACTATTGCCCTTTAAAACCTGTTTTTGAAGTTATAACCAGTTTTGACCTGCCAGAAATCAGGGATCCTCTTTTATTTACATCAATATAGGTTTTAAATTGTCTTGATCAATAGATCATTTCCAAATCAGTGACTTGAGACAGAATTTGGTGTTTCTCTTATCTTCAGCAATGTTCCTAAAGATCTGAGTTAAAACTGGTACCACATGGTGCCGTCAACTTGAGATAAATTTTTTGTCTTAATTTTTTTAAGTGTTAAACTGGAATTTAGTGAAGAACTTTGTGAGAAGTCGCGTCCAAGTAATTCAGATGAGATCATATACCAATAAATAAAAGTCTGCTTTAGGCCTTAAATAGATAAAACTCAGCATTTAAGTGAAAACTCAAGGACCACCCATTACTCTGGGCACGTGCCTCCCCATAGCTCCGCGGGAGAACGGGGCAGCTCCGTGAAAGAAGAAAGGCTGGGACACAGGCACAATGTCGGCATGCCTACCTCCAATGTCTTCATTTTTTTCCCCATCATCGCTTTATCTACTTTATCAATTTTGGCAGCCACATTCTTGAAGTTTTTATAAGTAGAGCTGTACCAATGAGAGTAGGAACTTAGGGATGATTCTGCTTCCTCCAAACTCTGGATCTCTTCTTCCAGGAATTTTATTTGTTCCTTTGAAAAAAGGACACAAAATTGAACGGTGAATGAAAGACCTGGGCCTGTGCCTTTCCTGATAAATATGTGTCTTTCCTGGAAGGAAGTGAGTGAAGGGAGGGGCATTGTGGCTTGTGAAGGGAGCTGGTCGACAAGGAGCAGCTGGGGGCCTCACCAGCACTTGGAGAAGAAGGGTCTGGTATCTGGACGTCAGCTGGGTGGCCTGGCAGCCCAGGCGGCTGCTCACGTGGCGCTCGTCCAGGATCTCCTGGGCTCTGGCTCCCACGTCCTCCACTTCGTCTCTGTACGTGGTGATTTCCTCGTGCCACTTCTGAAATTAGTAAATATCGCAAGGAAAGGTTTAATCTTGGGCACTACTGAGTAAGACAAATACGTATATCTTCTTAATGATCTTTTGATCAGTGGAATATATTTACTCTGAGATATAATTTTGAAAATATGTATTTAACCTACATGAAAAATTGTATTACAACAATGTGATAAAAACTATGAGTTCTTGATTTGGGCACTTTTCTGTATATATTACACTTCAGTTCAAAAAATGTATGTTTTTATATAGATACAACTGTATTAATAGGAAATGATTCCACTGTATATTTAGAATATATGTATTCTGAGATATAATTTTGAAAATGTGTCATGAAAAATACAATATCATGATAAAAGCTGTACTCTTTGAGTTTGAGTACTTCTTGTATATATTACACTTCTGTTCAAATTTTTTAAAGAGGAGTGGCATACATTTTATATAGTCTGTTGTACTTAGATAAATTTTAAACTAGATGAATAATGAAAAAGCCTCTGAAGGCCTAAGCATTATTTTGAGCATGTGTACCAAATTTGCATAAAAATTAGAATAAAACTAAACCGCAAGTATTATTTCAATGCACTATATTAGAACAATTGCAAATCCGAACCATAAAGTTAAATGACTATAATATTAGCATTTATGTATCTTTACAAAGCAAGGTGATAGGATAGAGGAAGAAAATATAAAATATTTCATTAAATTATATTTTATTAAGGACTAACTTAGGATTCTACTCATCATTGCCATTAGAATGCTCCATTGTAATTTACGTTAACTTTCTTTTCAAGCAGAAAATTTTGCAAAATCTAAACTTTGGACAAAATGAATTACTAAATATCTTAATGAAACAAACTGCAAGGCAACTGAATTGACTGACCTTCATCTGATGTAACTGCGTCTCCTTGGCTGCCCGGTTAGACTGGCGCCCGGTCCTGAGACGCACTTTCTCATCCAGCGTTTGCAGCCAGTCGTCTACTTGCTGAAACTTCTGCTCCATCAGCCTCAGTTTGTTGACGACACTGTTGAACTGAGTCCGGGTCTCGGACAGCCTCTGCTGGTACGCCTGCCAGTCCTGCCGGAGGGACTCCAAGGCCCGGTCCTCCGTCTGGGGGATGCCCGACGGGATCACTTCCTCCCGGGTGTGCAGCGCTGAGTTGAGCAGCGCCTGGCCCTCGGCGCAGCGAACCTGCAGCTCCTGCGGGGGAGGCACGGCTGTCACACCTCCTTCAAATCTCACACCTGCACAGGCTAACATGTCTCACCCGAGGCACCTGTGCCACCTTAACTTCCCGTTAGGAAAGAATGATTTTATTCTGTCTTAGAGAAAACATTAACTAACAATACTATTTCCCATCAGGAGAAAGATTTGCAAATATTTCCTATTAAGATTATCAAACCACATGCAAAAATCCACACAAATAACACACACATAGGAGTTATTTGTCTCAATCATCTAAGAAAGAATTTCTGAAATTTGACTTTTAGGTTTTTAGGCACAAGTACTGTGATTAAAGAGCTATTGTTTAAAAGAATAACCGAAGCCTTTTATGGCTCATAATCTGTTTGAAGAGCCGAAGGCTTCTTGCTCTGACATTGAACGAAATCAGTTCCACGCTTGCGGTTGAGGCAGGAACAATGGGCCATCTTTTTCCCAAAGAGAAACTTTGCCAGAGCCAGGCTCTAGGGAAGGTGCTGGCCAAGAAAAGTTGGCCCAGGGTAGTAAGTCATACAAACTTGGGAGATTGAATTGTCACACCTGCCAATGGGATGCTCCCAGGCACAAATACATTTTCCTCCAGCAAAGCATAAGCCCCAAAGATTTATCCTACAGGTTCAGTATGAACCAACTCTTGAAGAGCAAAAACTATGATTTATAGAAAGAAAAACTCTTATCTTTAAAGATATTGGCAAAACCATATTATATACTTTCACTTGGGTTGGAGTTGGGTTAAAAAAATCGACACTGATACTTGATCTATCAGCTAAAGCTGAAAGGAGCCAAGTCAAAACCCACCAAATGTGTTAAAAGCACCAACATATTTAATCAAAATACAGTATTATAAAGATATTTAATATCAATTCAGACCATTTGAGATTGCTAATATCTGACTATTTTTACCTACAAAAAGTGCACTTTCAAATGGTACAAACTAATGGACATGTTTCTCCTTAGCTATGGTATCACCCCAAGAGTGACATAATGTGAACACGTAAGTGGAAGAGAGCAACATATATGGCACAATATTAATCAAACAGCCATAGACACAGAACTTATATCCCAAAGTTCTTAAAAATTTTTTTAAGTATTTTTGTACTTTTAATCTCCTCTTTAAGTCAGGAGTTAAACTTTCTCTGCAAAGGGCTGGGTGGTAAATCTTTTAGGCTTTATGGGCCACACGGTCTCTGCCCCGTAGGTCTGAAGTAGCAACAGATGGTAATAAGTGAGTGGGTGTGGCCGTGTTCCAGTAAAACTTTATTTTAAATACAGGCTTAACTCTGGCTCTGGACTGTCCTTTACTGGCCTTTGTCCTAAGTTATTCATTTTCTCAATGTATCACCCTTTCCGTATTTTACAACTGGTTTTGCTATGGTACAAATCATCGCTGTGTTATATAAATTTGTATATGTTCCATATTTTAAGTATTCATTCTGAGGGAAAATACAGTTAATAGTTTTAAAGTCTGTATGTTCTAACAGCCCTCAGCTTATACAAGATAGTGCAGGGAATGTGGCTCACGCTGCTGGCCGAGCCCCCTACCGTTGTGCGTATCGTAGACCATTAAGATCCTAAAGACTGTCTGCTGGGCACTTAGAACATCACAGTGCTCTGCTACCTCTTCTGCCACTATCACCTTATCTCCTTTTTAACATCGTGACAACTCACCATGTAGGAATTATTGCATGGTGAGAAAAGGGGTTGGAATTGGGTTTGGGCCACCTGCCTATTGACTGAAGTGAAACATTTTCTTCTGACCGGAACCAAAGAAACATCTGCTGGTGACGATGAACTTACTGGCCCAGTTCCCACACAGAAGCCTAGAGAGCTCAACATTCGCTTTTGCCAACAGTGTCTGGAGGGAAGAGCTGAGAGGGGTTATTCAGCAAAAACAAAGTCAGCTCTACTAAAATAAATGACGGCAGAGAAACCTGGCAGAGCAGAGCATCCTGCTACTTTAAAACAGAATGGGCGAGATCCTTAAATAAAAGAATGAAATTATGACCCTTCCAACTTATATATTTATTTCATGAATGAAGCATTATTTAAATACATTTTTCCCCCATCTAACATAATCCTTTTTCACAAACAACTCTGTGGAGAAAACTAAGTGAAAGAAGTTCTTTCTTGCCTGAAGTTGCCTGTCAGGTCCCACCAAGGATTAGAATCTAAACTTCCTAACCTCAACCTTGTGCTCCTACAACTATTCCTGAGACCTACTGAAATAGCCAGGAATTTCATATACTAGTGATAACTGTCTCAGTCCCTGCCTTTTCCATCTGTGCAAGCTGTAGGTACATCTTGCGCAATCCTGAACCAATTCTGTTGAGGGCTGACAGCATGCCACTAAGTTCCAACACACAGCTGATGGGACATGGAGTTTTCTCACTGGCCTTTCCCCATTCTCCACTATGTATGCTTGGCATCCCCTTCTTGAGATACCTCCCAACCCCTACCTATCTGTCTAGGTAGATTAAAGGCCTCTCTGATGCTCCCATAAGATTCCTTGCATTAGTTTACTATTGTCCTTATCACATTGTTTATAATGATCTACCTGTGAGTCTGCATTTCACATTAGATTACAGTCCTTTGAAGGTAACAATAATATTTTAATAGTTTTTACCTGCAGTAGCTAGCCAAGTGCCTGCACTGTATTAGTCAGTCAATAAATGCTAAACGGTAACTAAGTAAAGTGGTTAGGACCACTTTCCACTAGGTCTGCCATCTTGCCCTGAATCGAAGCGTATGCCTGGGCACCAGTATTTTCTCTAGCTCCTCTAATTCATTCTTCTAGGACCCTGACCTTGGACCTGTATCCCCAGCAATAGAAGTTTTGGTTGAAATCAGATGGCCCAAGATGGTGCCACCAGTTTGACTTTATGAAGTATCACATTCTATTGGCTCTGGATGCCATGTCCCATATCTAAATGAATCTTTTAAGAAGCAATGGGTAGGTGGGCCCACCAACACCATAAATGAGACCACTACCCATTCCTGCCAGAGGCCACCATCGTAACAGAACAAACTCCTCAAGCCCCAGTCTCACTGGGTTTAAGTTACCTGCTAAATGATCTCAACTAGTAAATACTACTGAGGTCCCAGAATGCTCTAGATCAGACCTTACTAGAGTGTCATTTAATATGTATTAGCTATGTATAGGATTCAAGATCCTGTTAACTTCTCATTGATTAAAAAATAATTGCATATTCAGAATAAAGGTGATTTGCTTTAAGATAAAACAGACTTTACCTGAAGACCCCGCAATGTGGTTTCGTGAGCGTGGGTATCACCTTGAAGAACTGAGTGCTGCTCCAGCTTTTCTAGCTCTTGCCCCAGCCAAACCTCAAATGCCTTGAGGTCTCTCTGGTACTCTTGGTGCAGGCGAACCCGTTTCTCAGACTTTGTCACCGCCTCCTATCATTAGAATTTGAGATGATCAGATGGGAATGAACACAATACTACATGCAGCTTCAATGTACCGTAAGGACTCTCTGTTGGACTTTTAGAAAAGCATGATTATTTAATCATTGGAATATAGTTTCCTAAATAAATGAAGGTTCAAGGTTTATGTAAAATTTTAAAAATAATATTAGGATTAGAAGAAGTTTTAAAGATGATTTTGTTGAATTAACGTCCTGATCTCTGAATTCCTTGTGAAGTGTAACACCAACATACTAAAAAAGTGAATTAATTTATTTGTCATAAAAATACACTTTGGCTTATGAAGAAAAGGGAAATTCTTATGTATTACCGTAAGGAAGGATTTGGACTCCCTGCGGATCGATTTTTCTTTGTACTTTGTCTAATAAACTAGGATGTGCTTTGAAAAATTACTTTTATTGTATTTGTGGGGCCTCAGTGCAGAATGATATCATGGATGCAGATCTCCTGCTTTAGAAAACTCTCAGCACCACCCACACTAGCGCATTTATAAATCTTTGTTACAACGGTGTTCAAAATTTTTCTTAACTTGGTAAATTTCTAGGAATTCCTAGTTGAGAAATATTTTCTTTCAGTAACTTTCATATACTAACGTTATTTGAAAGTTTTTGTTTGGTTTTGCCAGCGGTTTATTTAAAGCATTAATATTTATTTTGCTATCTGTTACATCATTGTCTTCTATCTGCTTCCACAAATCTATCATTTCCAAAAATAAAGGAGTCTTTAAGTAAGCGCAGCTCCAAACATTCCTACCCCAGTGAGTCTACACGGAACAGGGTTAGCCGTACCTTGGCCCTCTCCCTGATGGCTCTGTATCGCTCCTGCAGATCCTGGAGCTCTAACTGGGTGACATAGTGCTCTGTCATGCTGGCCCCTTTGATCTCAATGGTTTCCAGCAGGCTGCTGTGGCTCAGCACTTCTTCAGTTAATAACTAGAGAACATTTAAAAATAATAAAGGAGTTAATGCATCTACCATCATATCAGTGAGACTGATAATATTGAGATATTTTAACTGTACAGTTGACAAATGATCTCAGGTAATCCATTTGTACATGGATAGATAGACCCCTCCATCTCTATATATGAGTGTCCCTGTGTGTGTGTGTGTGTGTGTGTGTGTGTTTTATTGTTGGAATACTACTATCCGTAAAAAAGATTTAGGAACATATCCCCAATATTTATCTACGTATCTATTTAAAAATCCTTACATGCAGTACTGTACTAATATGAGCATTATGAAAAATATACAAATGTAGAAATACAAAAGGATGTGGTAAAAAGAAAGCATTCTTACTTCCTAACAATGAGTAGGCTAAAGACATTACAAGTTCCCAAATTTTAAATGGTGTGTATCATAAAATATAGATCATTGATGTTTCCCTGGAAGAGACCCTCTTCACCCACATAATAAAATAGTCACAAAGAGAAGTCTAGCTTCAGAAGCCATTCGAAATGATGGCACAAGCCCCTAGTTTCTTCTGTGTAAAGCCTGATCTTACTGTGCAGGGGATCACATCTGTGCATGACCGTGGCATTCTGAAGAAGCCATCAGAGGACAGCCGGACTCGGGAACCCAGCCCCACCTTGGCCTTCCCGAGAGCGGCCGTCTTGCCCCGCAGCTCCGCGCACGGCCTCTCCCACTCATTCAGGCCGGCTTCCACGCCGTCCATCCAGCCGGAAAACTGCCGGACGTCATCCTGGTAACTTGTCCACTTAGACAGGGCTCCTTCCAGTTGGCTGAAAGGTGTGCGAAAGAACAACCGTCTGTACTGAGGAGCTGCGGCTGTGTCTGCCCTTCCTCTCCACCCGCAGGAAGTGCACACAGTGATCAGGACGGGGTAGGCTTGGGGTGCTTATCTAAGCCGGGGCCCTGGAAGCACAGCTTCAGGAGGCCAGGGACAGTGAAGCCCAGGACACCAGGCAGACAGGGGGGCTGCGTATAAAACCTGGAGTCAACAATCGGGTCATAGGAGATGCCGGGAGAGGCTTTAGGGCAAAACCCGGAGAGACCCCCCAGCGAGGCTTTTATGGAGCTGAGCAAGACTCCGGACAGGGGGAGAACCAATACGTAACCCCATCAGCGTGAGCAGGACGTTCAGGGGAGAGGGCGAAAGGAATTAATACAAGAAGGAAAGACCGAGCAAGAACACGCATGGCCACTGTCTTACATGAGAATTAGAATTAGAGAATTACAGTGGAAAAACAGGGTTAACATTTTCTGTATCGGCCTAATGATTAAAACCTGATTGTTTCTCTTACAGATGAATTGAGTACTTCCTTCTCTCAGTGCAGATGTTATGTTTTTAACTCCCTTGATCATCTGTGCCTCATTTTACTGCCATGGGTTGGGTGCTTTGCAGCAAACACTAGGCTCCACCCAGGTGTACCCCGGACCACACCGCTGCAGCACCCCGAAAACAGAATTCTCATGGCCAGCTCCACGCCCTCCAGGCCTGAGGACACGCTCTGGTCCCTATGCCCTCTCGGCTTCAGGAATATATAGGTAAGGGCTAGGCATTCTTGCCCCTGGCCACCCCAGCTGCCCTGTTCTTGGGTGGGGTAACTCCAAGGCACATGTTCTACTCTGGTTCCCAGCACTGCCTGGCAGGATTCAGTTCCAGCTGCCCACATGCCCTTTACCGGCTGCCTGCCCTTCCTCATCTCAATTTGCCATCCCCTACTGGTGTTGCCTGCGGTGATCTCCCAAGGAAACAACTTGGTTTTAACTAATATATCTTTACATGATGAAACATTTATCTATCTTTAACTTTTTAAGCAGTGACACCAATAAGCTAAACATGTAGATATAGTACACAAGGCATAGTGTTGCAAACAACCTAAATGCAAGATTGTACCTGCCAGTTTCTTTTGTTCTAATAAGAAAACGGGAAAGGGAGAGACCGCACCAGCCTGCCCCAGAACAGAGTGCTACTGAGTGGCTGCACTGATCTTTCAGCAATGGCTTTGCAGTAGTGGGCTTTGGTTCCTCTTACCTTTTGCAACGGATCACTGCAGACAAAAGGGAAGCCCACATGTCCTTCACACTCTGCAGCTGCTGCTGGAGGGCAGGGATGCCTTCTGGGGCAGTGCTCTGGAGGACAGATTCCCCTCTGGTGACTATCATTTTCAGCTGGATCTCCTTCTCCTGTTTCACCGATAACAGAGCCTATAAAAGCGAATACGAGGTCCTTTGTCATTTGCATACTGAATATTTCTGGCTTTCAGTATCTCAGAGCTCCTGAGATTGTAGAATGATATGCATTTGTGTTGAGCCTTGGATCTCTCAGGCTGACCAGGTGAAAGGTGGGAGAGTCACCTGATGCTGAGTGCCAGTAACCAGTCACTTGTCACCCACTGGTCTCCAGGTGGCCTTGGCTTTGCAGGCCTCGACTCTTCCCTGAATAATGCCTCCTTTCCACTAAAGTTTTATTTTACTGGTTTTTAATAGACTACAGTAGAATTCATGAATTCTCAAAGTCACAGATGGAGAGCTTTATAAATGTGAAGGTCTCTGGCCCAACAAACAAAGAACTGTGATTTGTTTTATATATTATTAACTTATATATTTTAAGTTCTTCATAAGCACTTATCTTTTTCTATTTAAGAAAGAAATCTGAATCAAAGTTACAAAACTGGTGTGATCACCTGAAAGACAAAGCTTCCTCTCTCCCCCTGACCTGGACCTGCCAACCTCCAGAGTCAGCTTCAGCCACTCATCACCCTCAGGGAGGAACTGGTGGCAATTTCTCACACACCATGCTGTTTGTTTACTCTGGCTTTTGCTCAGAATTTTTGAATGTGGCATCATTCTCAAGTATCAGCTTAGGTATCAGACTTCTTTAGAAACCTGCTCTGGCTCTCAACCCATCTGTCCTGCATGGCTCCACTCTGTGTCTATAACCATAAACATGACCCTATCTGCTATAATTGCTCTCTGTGTTTCAGCCTCCAGCTGAAATCCTTGAGGACAAAGATTACACTTTGTTCATTTCTGAATCCTCGGTACTAAGACAGAGTGACAGTCTCCTAGAAGACACCCACATATGAATGAGAGACAAGTGAATGAAGAATCATTATTTTGCCATAAATGGAAACTGTGTTGGATGGGAGAGTTGACTACATGATATAGGCAGGCAAGAAAATTAAACACGATTGAAAATGTTCTGCCCTATAAAATGTTCCATTGAAATACTTTCTCAGAATAAACGTGTCAGCAATGCGATCTGAAACTAGCTTCTTAACCAGCTTTCAGGCAAATCACCACATTGGGTAGTTATTTTATTTTTGTGAAGCATTTATGTCTGAACCTGTTCCAATGATTCAGGAAGGCTTGGGCTTGCCCACCCTGTGCACATAGAGCATTCTGAGATTTCCCGTGGTGAGAGGGTGACATAACACTACCACACAGAGGGTGACTTAAGAAATTTTGAGGCTCTGGCTGGATGGCTCGGTTGGCTGGAGCGTTGTCCCACACACCAAAAGGTCATGGGTTTGGTCCCCAGTTGCGGGAGGCAACTGATTAGTGTTTCTCTCTCACATTAATGTTTCTCTCCCTCTCCTTCTCTCTCTCTCCCTTCGTCTCTCTCTAAAATTCAATAAAATATATCCACAGGTCAGGATAAAAAAATTTAGGAAAACAAAGTCTGTCCATTAGAGATGTGTTTCTGAAATGCATACCTCCAGCTTGAGCATCCTGCTGTCCAGCACGCTTTTGTCAGATGTCGGGTGGGAGTAAGAGTCGAGCATGTGAACCACGTCTGTCATCCAGTCTTGCAGCTCTTTCACGCCAAGGGAGAACTGATTGTGTTCTGCAACAATTCTGTCCAGTCTTGACACTTTCTCCTGGAAACGACAGACACGGTTTCCCGCTGTCCATTCCACAGAGCCCTCACAGCCTGAAGCTACCCAAACTGGCAAGCTAACTGTCTCGTTCAGATAACCAGGATCGGCCATAGGCTCATACGCTGCACGGATGTGATGTGTGTCTGCATTAACCTGAGAGATGTGTGAACTCTTTCTAAATAGGAAAAGTGTGAGACTCATTGGGCTGAAAATCAGAAAATTAAAATTTCCAATTTACTGTCCCTCAACTTGGTTGCTATTCTTGATGACAACTGGTTCATTTTTTTCAGAATCAGTAAAATTTCTTTCTAATGCCTTGTCTGGGAGACCAATCAAAGTGGTTTCTAGCTTTCACATAATCACATTTGGCTGAACTGATACCACATGACCTCCACTGTTAGCAAGGGTTCTAAACAATTTATTTTCTGAGATTTTTGTAATATCGCTAAATTTTAAAAGTTAGGCCATAAATATGATTTTTAAAAATTAATTACAACTCATACCCAACATAGTGAAGTTTATCAATATAATTTTACAGCTCGTCAAGCATTCAAATATCTATTGATATTTGGTATCTAAATAAATACAAATATTTATTTGTATTTGAATAGAAAGAGGTCCTTACTTAATTCTAATTCTAGCTATGTGCCAGATCATCTAAAAACAAAGAAAGGAACCTATTCAGAGGAAAAGCACTTGTGTAAACATAGTCTATTTACTCTGAGTCCATATTTGTGTGACTGTGTCAACGGTGTTTTACTGAGGATCTGAATTAGCAGATTAGAGTAAGTCCATGCTAAAATGGGGGATGCCAAATTAAAGAAGAGACTAAATTACAATAGGATCCCAACATTCTAAGACTGAAGATGCAAAAGACAAATATAGGGAACAAATGTCACAAGCTACACAAAGCTCCTAGTAGGCTTGCCCCACCAAGTTCAAGATCAGATCAGTCTGCGTCATGTCAGCTGAATGTCTAAATGAGATCATAGTGGGCTCCCATTTCCTGTTTTCTAAGCTGTTAGAAAAGAAATGTAATCGGTTAAACAAGTCATTGTCAGTTTTGAGCTCTGCTCTGTTGACTGAACTTAAAATCTCAATCGACACATCCTTGACTACTCTGTAATGAATATAAAGAGTTTAGAGAAATTAAAAAAAGAAAAAAGATCCCAAACTCATTTTATTTAGTCCACTAAAATTTAAATTCCTTTGGATTCTTGTTTTTCTAAAATAATTAGATTCCATAGGCCCAAACTGAATTCTGCCTTATGTTTATCCATTGAGTTTTCAAAATAAAAGCTCCCGAGAACATGCCAATTCAGTGTAAAGGGAATATTCTGTGCGCTAATGGAGACTGGAAGTCCCTTCAATCCTTGGGACCTCCCTCGCTGTTTGGACAGCCACACTGAGATGACACAGCACAAATACGAGACTCATGTTGCAGGGCTGGGAGAGACTTACACGCCTTATTTCTGCCCTGGGCTTGCCAGGCCGACACCCGCACAACCCCACTGAGACTGCAGATTTGGGACACGGGCCCACACTCACACACAGCACATGGCGGGCGTTACCTTCGTTACATTGCTTAGCGCTAGATACTGAGCAGACAGCTGCGACACTCTGTGCACAAAGCTCTTGCTGGCAGCTTGTCCTTCCCACAGCTGCTGAGCTTTCTCTTTTAGCCTGTTGAGCTGAGGCTCGTAGCAGTTTATTTCCTCAAGGACAGACTGAAAAGCACAAGCAAGTTACTATTAAGAGGCTGGGGAAAAGCACATCGCGAAGGAGCTTTGGCCCAAAGAGCACAGAAATCAACACGGGCGAGCAATCGGTGCGCCCCGGAGGCTTGATTAGCTCCAAGCTACACGCGGTAGAGACTGTAGGACAGAAACAAATCCACCTCAAAGGAAAGCCGGGACACATAAAATCTGTCAGAAATAGGGAAAGGGGACAGGCTATCTCAAGGCGGCATCATTGAGTTCCAAGTGCTCGGGGCGCCTGGACACTGGATGCGGGATGCACGCAGGCGGGGGGAGAGTCGCGGCCCTGCGGCCCAGTCTTCACCTGGAGCTTCTGCTGCTCCCTCCTCTTTGCGGGCAGGTCGTACAGGCGGCTGCTGCTCTCGTGCACCATCTTCTCAGTCTTGCTCAGCCAGTCCTGCACAGGCTCCGCGCTGACTTCAAAGTCCTTCATTTGGATCTTCAGATTCTACAGGGTTTCAGATAATATTGGCATGCACAAAATTTTAATGGCAAACGAAGCCTTTCACTTGGCGTTCAATCTGGCCCTACTGACCCCTCCCCTTCCTTCCCTGTTCCCAGTATCTGGAACATTCTATCCTGCACCTTGGCACCTGTATGATTTTTGAACACCCTTTAAGAGCTTTTTATAGACCTACTTTTAAAAAATGACCTTTTCCCTAACTACCCAGGCCTGGTTGAGAGTCAAGGTCAATTTGCTTAGTATACAACACATTTCACTATTTGGCCCTAATCTTCATCACCAGTCTTCTCTTTGTTGCTCTTCCCCCAAAACCCCACGTGGATGTCAGACTTCTTAAAGTCCTGTTTATTGTTGGCACATAACCCCTGGACCTGCACATCCAGGCCTTTCTACCCGAAATGTACATCAGCCTTGGCAAGTTCAAAGAACGTTTAGTCTTCAACGTTCAGTTAAAATGTCACCTCTCTGGAAACCTTCCTCGACTTCCCCAGTGGAATTACCTGCATTGCATCCTTTGAAAGACTATCGTATGCTGAACATACCTGTATTACATTGCAATCACCTCTTTATATACTGTTTCCTTTTTTAGAAAGCGAGTTCTCTGAGAAGAGGAAAAAAATAACCCTCTCATATTCCTAATATAGTGCCTGGAACATAACAGGCAATATTATGCGTGTTTTACTAATAGAAGAAAGGAATGGAAAAAGGGAGGGAGGGGAAAGACAACATGGAAGGTAGGGAGGCAGGCTATTCCTGACCTACCATCTACTCGTGGACATTTCTTGGATTAGATCATCTCGCTGTCAATGCTAGATGTACTGCCTTCAAAAGCAGGTGCCTCAGAGCTCATGCCACACTGCATTAAGGATCCCTGCAGTTAAGAGTAAATTTCTAGGCACAACGCCATGATTATGTCTCCCTAATACATGGAGGGTGCTTGCCGTGGGAGACTAGCCACCACCGCGAAGGAGACTACAGTGGTTCTGGGTTAGGAAAGAACTGAGGAAATACACATTTTCTCTTTCTTGTATTAATTCTCTGTTACTATTTTTTTCCATCTCACATTTATATGGTCATAATCAAATTAAGTATTTTGCCAAGAAGTGCTGTTTTAAAAGGAAAAAAATATTCTCCATGTCTCTAAATTTTCCTCCAAGAAAAGAGTTGGTACACAAAACAGATGGTTCACAAGAAAGAAATAATTGCATTGTGGCAGTAATTATGTTATGATTACAATAAATTCAACTTATGTTGTCTCTAGACAGAATGAAATTGTATAAACATTGTCTCTTTACACACTTAACTCCTAAAATCTTCTACTTGACATTTGCATTAGTTATAATAAGCTTTCTCATCCATAGCATTTTGTAGCCTAACAGAGATATTTCTGTTTATTCTCTTAGAACAACTTCTAAAACTAAGGGATTTCAAAGGAAAGGCTGATATGCTTAAAATTAAAACCAGTTGTTCCTTATGGTCTATGATAATAGCCCCTACTATGCAAGAAGCTACTTAATTCCTAAGTGAGGCTCATACCTCTAGCATGAGCTATTATTAGGGTTGTCTGGTCATTCATTTGTATTCAGAGAGGGGTGAGCAAGATCACTGACAAGGATACTTTGGTATATTGAGAGTGTGGTTTAACTAAACATCACCAACAGACAACACAGAATGTGTCCACATAGCTGGTTACATTATACCTCTAGGGTAGATTCCTTTTGGTGGAGATTTGAATGAAAATTTTTCCAGTCTTCTTTTGCATTTGTAATTTTGGCCTGGATGCCATTAGCTTTCTCTTTGGTCAACAGAGAACTCAAAAGTTCCCCTTTAGACAGCATCATGTTTAGCTTGTGCTGTCCATTTTCACTTTCTGATGAAAACTCCTATAAAGAAAAATGTAAGATTAGGCAAAGTAAAATGCTCTCTGCTTTAAAATACATTGATTTTCTTACTTTTTTTTTTCAATAAAATCACAGAGAAGGAATAGACAGTTTTTATTGTACATGTTCAGTGATGAAGACTCTTTTACCATATCTGTACATTGGGAATAATAATCTTATGTACCTGATGTGGTTACTGTGAAATTTAAATGAAAAAAAAAATCTGCCTGCATTTATACAAATAGACTAGTTTCTCTTCTACATGAATCAATCATTGCTAGCAGGGATTTGTTTGAAATTTGAGTTTCAAACAAAATTTTAATATGCTCCTAAAACGATCAAGAGGCACTTTTTAAATTCACTTAAGCATCGTTATTAGAATTAGTTAATAACACTCTTACCTGTATCTTCTGAAGACTTGTTGAAACTTCACTAATATTTTGAGGTATATCAAAGCATTTGGCAGTGGTGATTTTTGCATTAACCAACCACTGCTGGAAATCCTTGAAGGCTCTTCGAAATCTCTGCTGTAATATCTGTTCTTTATTCTGACAGCTCTTGGATGCTTGCAAACACAGACTAAAACCATGATTGGAAGCATTTAATGAAAGAAAAAAATGATAAAGGAGATTAAAATAATGTTTGATAAAATCAACAATTTTTAGAGTATGTGATCATGTCATTTAATAATGTATTTAATGATTAATTTTTATTAATATTGAAATCACACTTTAAAATATACAAACTTCTAGTTTCTTATTTGTATGAAAATATTTTAAATACCAATAAGGTTCATGCTCACCAATTATACTCTTTAATCAAGGCAGAAACTTTTCCACTGTATGGACTCAGGTCTCTGGAAAATCGACAAAGTTCATTCAGCTGAGACTTGAGATCCTCTGTCTTAGGCTCTGCTTTTTGTAGAGCGTCCAGTATCTCCTATTAGGAAATAAAAAGACAGAGGAGTAAGCATTTAAATTAGGTAATTTCCACATCTTCATACTGTAGACGCATAAATCATGAGGCCTAGTTTCAGGATCCCCCATGGCAAATATATCCTGCCTTGTATCCCCTTCGAGCCATGGATAGTCACAAAGGCATGAGATGTTGCCAAGAAGTCAAGTGGTCAAGTGGCCAAATAACTTAAAGTAGAATAAGAAAAAGAAAAGAGAAAATAGCCTGAATTGTTTAAAAACAGTCTGACTGCCCTGGCTGGTGTGGCTCAGTTGGTTGAGCAGTGCCCCATGCACCGAAAGGTCGCTGGTTCGATTCCCGGTCAGGGCACCTTCTGTCCTTTGGAAGGTTTCATGTTCTTTCTTCTCTCCTAACCTCAGCTCACTTAAAGACTAGATTGCTTTAGAAATAAGACTAAATAAAGTTTCCTTTGAGTTTAAAAAAATTTAAAAAACAAGTATAACTAAGACATCAGAAGATATGTACATTGTTTAATATTAAAGAGAAATCATTTCAAAGCAAAGCAACACTTATTTTGGTACATATATAAAGCAAGCGATTTTGTGCAATACATAAAATTAACTTTCACATCAAAAAACTCTTATAATCTGGAGGTCTGATTTAAGTAATAATTCATTCATTTTATAGTTTCATTCACAGAGCCATCAAATATACGCTAAATGTCTACCACATGCCAATCATTTTGCTGAATTATGGGACCATCTCCACCCCTCAACATGACTAAAGGTAAGATTCTTGCATTTGAAGAGCTCACAATTTAATGGATGAGAGAGACACGTGAATAATCACAATCCTGTGAATTTTTAATCCAAATAAAGTCTTAGGACGTGACAAGTACACCTCTGAAATCAAGGCCATGGTCCTAGAGTTTACAAAGGATTGTCACACAAGGAGCAAATGACATCCTGAGTATCAAATGCACATATTCTGGCACACTGATAAGTGCCTTAGAAGGAAAATGAGCGGGTAAATAACTCCTAAATATTTAAATGGGAGTGTGTGGATAATGGTATCACCAAGGTGAAAAATAACAATAGTAATTTAAGAGGAGGGACAGGAAGATGAGTCACCACTCAGAGAGCCATTGCTGTTCCTATTTTTACTCTCAGAGATATTTATCATGGGATGGCCTAGATTTGTAGGAAAACCACGCCTCTCAACAACCTAGGTCTGCGTTACATTCCTTATCCTAGTAAATGGAACCACTGTCCTCCAACTGATCTAAATCAGAAAACTAAGCATCACCACGGCCTGGCCTGCTCCCTTCTGGCTCCATGCAGGCACTAATGAGGTCTGGTCTGTCCTACCTCTCGGAGAGCCCTTTTAATCAGTTACCTTTGCATTCTGACTCTCACGGCCCCCATTTACATCTTTGTCATTTCTTTCTAGAATGACACAGTATCCTCTTAATCTGAATCCTGTTCTCTAGCTTTCTCTCCTGTGTTTTCTCATTCCTCGGCAATTCTGTACCATGGTGCGTTCCTCCACTCACACACCCGGCCCATTTGTGACCATACCTCAAGACTCTGCTCAGATAAGGACTCCCCTAAGAATTCTCTGCCCTCCTTTCTACCTCTCAGGGGCTTCTCACTGGGGACACACAGCGCCTCTGGGCACTCATCACTATTGAGTGTTCCCAATGGTTTGGAACGATGTGGGCCTTTCTACCAGGAAGGTGGCTCTGTGAGGAGGAATGGTGTTCTCTTAGCTTTAAACTTCTTTATTTAGCTTAGTGTTGGGCAAGAAGCACCTAAAATATTTTTATTTACAAAATTCATAAATAATACTTAGAAAATTTCTCTCTGAAGCTCCAAATGCTAAACTAGTAACTACTATTTTACTTCACATTAAATCTTTTACTGAAGGAAGAGCATTAGGAGAACTAAAGAAACCTGACCACGCATCAAAGTAGTAAATAAAAACCCCAGAGATTCAAATGAGTCACTTATGCATTAGGTGTAATCAAAAGTGAAAAGTCTGGACCAAAATTTGACACTAAATTTTTTTTTCTATAACTTTATCATACATTAAAGGATATTATTAGAATCTTTCATTATGTAAATATCAGGTTATATACCTGTGTTTCTGTTAAGTCCTGGGATGCATTTTTTTTTTTCCTTAGAGGTTAGGCAGGTTAAGAAAACTCCTATATTTCCAACACTAATAGCCTATGGATATTAAGAGATAGGAGTTTTGCAAACACAGCGAACAAGATTTTTTGTGACATGATTTTATATAGTTTATAGATAATGACCCATTTTTATTTTTAAAAAGATTTCTTTCTTTTCCTTTCTTTTTTTTTATTTTTAGGAGAGAGGAAGGGAGAAGAGAGAAACATCGATGTGAGAGTGCAACATCAACTGGCCGGCTCCTGTATGCCCCCTACTGGGGATCAAGCCAGCCGCAACTCAGGCATGTGCCCTGACATGAATCGAGCTGAAACCTTTGAGTACATGGGATGACACTCAACCAACTGAGCACGCTGACCAGGGCTAAAATGATTTCTTGAGTATCATCATTTAATTGCAGAAGGGAAAGTAAATACCTGGGAAAGCTCGTGATTACTGTTATGATTGTTAACAATGACAAGCCCTTTCTAACAGCAAAACAAAGCCACATGAACCCTAGCAAATCCATTATTTTGTAAAACTTCCCCATGCTTTCATTGTAATGAGAGCATTATCTCCATTTTTAAAAAAATTTAAAAAACTGTTCCCAGCTTTATTGAGATACAATTGACATAACATTGTGTGAGTTTGGGTTGTACAATGTATTGATTTAGTACATTTATATATTATAAAATGATTACCACTAAAGCATTAGCTAACAAACACCTTTGTTCCATCACATAATTATACTTTCTTTTCTAAAAATATCCCCATTTTTAGATAAAATGACATAATCAGAATAAGAGAAAATCTGAGTATTTAGAGGTAATATAGTGTTGTCACTAAAAGTATGTGCTCCAGAGCCAAATCTGGAAATAGATCTAATCACGGGGCTGCTGTCTTTCAATTGTTTATACCATTAAAAGCATATTTACTTTTGCATTACCTTTCTGTAGGCCTCACCTATTATTTTTACTAACAGAATCAATATAAGGAAATAATGATAGCTCAGAACAGTAATATAATTTAAATAACCACCAAGTCTTTCTTTTAAAAAAAAACTCATTCATATTAATGGTAGGGACTGGAAGGGAAACAAAATAGGACTAAAACATGGTAACAGATTGTTTTGATCTCTGAGTGAATAATACTGACCACATGAAATAATTACCAACTTCCTTGTCCCTATTTTATAGGACTGCTTTCTACACTTTATTTGGGTGCTCATGCCTGAAGGTTAAGAAAGCAATCAGAAAAAAAATATAACCTACAAGCATTATAAATGAAATAGCATAAAGAGACGGTTAGAAAGTTTTCCTTTGCGGTACGCTGTATGTGTTCCAAATACTTGATTTCAAACAGGACAATGTTGGAAAGATTATGTGAGTTGCTTACAGGCTGGAGATATTTTGAAATGTTTATAACATAAATAGACACAGAGAAGTTTACTTTACTAAAACTTCCTTTTAAGGACACCCACGATTCAGAGCATTATTAAACTGCAAATATCGAAAGAAAGTCTTTCTAAGGTCCCATTTAACAGTGAAGAAAGAAAGGATTTCCAGCTTCTGCCCGATCTTCGATATCCCTTTCATGCTTTCTTTTCTCTCATTCTGAAGGAGCTGTCGTTAGTTTAAAAAAAAATGTCCAGAAGGCAACCCATCAGCATGACATAGGGGTTCTGTGGACCGGTCAATTCAAGCACGGCTGTCAAAATTATCAAAACGACACACAGGAGAGATAATCTGGGTGAAAACTATTAGTTGTGTTTTCAGAGATTACCAAGGGTTTCTTTCAAAGCTATAAATTCAAGCACTGAATTGTTGGCAATAATTCTCTGGCAGGAAAACAGCCATGACTCTTCGTGCATTTATGCCTCTACCCACAGGCCATTTTTCAGGCTGAATGGCTGAACACGAGATTACAAACTCTTGCACCATAAGAACACAAGTGGAATATTTCCACCAACAGTAACTGTTTTCAAGGGTAGAGAATAACCTCTCTCCTCTAACCTTAGTTCTACAATAGTTTGATTTATGAGAAAAGAAAACAGATCTGATTTGCAAATTTAATTAGAAATGCTTATTTTTTCCAAGTATGAATGCTGTGTTTTTAGTAAGAATTTTTTTTTTCCTTTTCAGCAACCATGAGAATCAAACCAAATGTTTAGCACAGTCACCACCAGAAAACAGGAAGCCGACTTACCCGTCCCTTGGCCCAGCACTCCGCGACCTCCTTGTCTGTGTTCTTGCCTTCCAGGAGGGCTAACTGCTGAGCCCACGTTGTCAGAAGGGTGCTGAACTGCCCCAGGGCCTGCTCCAGCTCGGCCACTTGGCCTGAGAACTCCTGCTCCGAAAGGGCCATCTGGCTGACCAGGTTCTCCAGGCTGCTGTGCGCCTGGAACACGCTGTCTTCCCACTGCTTCCAGTCGGCCCGCAGGGCCTGCATCTCCGTGTCCATGAGCTCACTCCCGCCGGCCGTTGTGTTGTGTTTCACTGCGGGAGCCAGACACTCCACTCTGCTCAGGCGGCCTGCCCCGGTCTCTCTGGAATCCATCAGCGCCTGTAATGGAATATCGCCATGGCAACCGAGGAGGCTGAGTCGCAGCGCACTTCCAAATATGTACAGAGGGTGACCCTGTCCTGCTAGGAAGTTTCAGCAAGTGTGCTACAGGGAGCCACAGTCAGTCCACCCGCCCACCCCTAAGTTATAATAGCAGAGAATTCTCATCCTGGGCACCGAGGCTGGTGGCAAGATAAGCTGTGGAATCCGAAACATCCCGAAAAGGCCAACAGGGACCCTGAAATCAGGCCCTGTTTGAGTATGTGGAACTGCTTTGGCCAGTAGTGCATTGCTCCTATAAATATGCAAATCCTTATTTCTCCCTCATTCAGTGATTTTCAATCTTTTTCATCTTATGGCACATACACTAATTTCTAAAATTCTGTGGCACACCAAAAGATATATTTTTTGCCGATCTAATAAGAAAATAGGTATACTTTTGATTCATTTACACTGGACAGCTATTGTTGTGTTGGGTGTTGACATTTTTTATTTATTTGACAATCTAAGGGAAAAGAGGTCAGTGTCCCTGACTGAATAGTCAGGGACTGCATGTTTTAAAAATTCTTGCAGCACACCGGTTGAAAATTGCTGCCCTAAATTGACAGACAAGTGAAGGAGGATTGCAGCAGGGCTGGGCTCTGCTCAGGGTCTCTAGCCCATTTTCGCCTTCATCCACAAGATGGTAGCTTACAAGTGGATGGATGGATGAATAAATTAAAATATTACTGAGAAATGTGTCAAAGAAGTATTTTAAAGGGTCACACAGATAATAAAAATGTAAAAATGGCCTCTATGTGATTATCTCATTTAAAACCCTCACGGTCACTTAAGATTTAAATAAGATAAGCCCTTAGAAGTGAGTTAAAAATGTGGTTATTACTGCTCTTATCATCTATTACTTTCATGATTTTTATGTTCTGATCTCTAGAGATTAGATCACAATTTGAATCTCAAATTCCTGACCACAGTTACACTATTAATACCCAACATTTCATCTAAAACATAACTGTTAAGGATTTCATCACTGTTTGTTTTTTAGATTAAATTCTATTACTTTCCACAGGGGGAAATGATTGCAATGTATTATTCAAGTCGCCAGAAATAACTAAAAGATACAAAGATCTGTAGTTCTCTGAGTTGCGTGAAATTTTTTGCTTTACGTTGCCCTTACAGGTGATAATTTTAATGTCCTTTAAAGTACTGTCTTTCACTCTGCTGTTGTGCTGTTGGCTAGAAAAGCAGAATAAAACACCTAGATGACATTTCCAAGTTATTGTTCAAAAACTTTTAACTCAGTTGTTATACAAACTTTTCTGCCACTGTGCTGGAAAATGATACCCGGTTCTGTCAGCTCCAGGCTGGCGTATATTGTGCCGCTTGCGCTACGGCAGCGGGCACATTCGGGCGCACGAGCACACGCAGACAGCGTTCATTCTGCTCAGAGTCAAGTGGTTCGAATTCCTTTCCCCCTCTTGATTAAGTCTAGAATTCATGAGGTGCAAGGTAAGAAACACCAACAAAGAGAAAAGAGGAAGGAAACATTTTAAATAAGAGAATCTTATCTACAGAATCTTTATCACAGGCCTCAAGAACCAATGAATCAGTGACGCTCTAATATCTGTCCACTTTCTAACCTTGATCTTAGACAACTTTTTCTGGGTGGCTGATGAGTCTCCAGACATATCTGACCACCGGTGAAGCTCCTCCTTTGCCGAATGGAGCCAGTCGGTGAATTCCTGCACGGCATCCAGATACATCAGGTGGTCCTTCACGATCTCCTCCACTTTCCTCATTTTGTCCTAGTGAGCGAAGTAAGGGCCACGTTAGCAGCAGTCACTACAGAGCATCTGAGTCAGAAAGTCACCGGGCTCATACTGGCCTCTTACGACCCCAGGAGCCTTCATTCTTATTCTTGAATTTCCTCTGTGTTTACTATCTTCAAATAGAAACAAAAAATCTTAGACTAAAAGATGTAGAGGACAGAACCATTTCCTATAATTATGTCTAGCTTTGCATAAGAAGCTATGCTTAATGAATACTGACTATCATCCCTCACTCATCACCCACTTAATAATTATTATTATAGCCCGGCTGGCGTGGCTCAGTGGTTGAGCATCGACCTAGGATCCAGGAGATCGCGGTTTGATTCCCGGTCAGGGCACGTGCCCGGGTTGCGGGCTCGATCCCCAGTTGGGGGCGTGCAGGAGGCGGCCGATCAATGACTCTCTCATCATTGATGTTTCTCTCTCTCTCTCTCTCCCTTCCTCTCTCTGAAATCAATGAAGATATATTTTAAAATAATAATAATTATTATTATTATAGTAACTCTTCTTATTTAAGAAATTATTTGTGTCGGCTTTTCGTAGAGCACTCAGCTCAGCACGTTGAATGCATTTGCTCATTCCACCCTCACAGCAGCTCTGTGATGTGATCCTATTATCACCATTGTATAGGAAAGGACACTGCGCACGTTATAGAAATTCAGGAATGTGCTCAAAGTCACACATCCAAGAAGGGACCAAGTCAGCATGCAGATTTAGGCCTTTTTGATTTTTATTTTAAAACACTAACAAAATAAAAATTAAGGTGAGCAAATACATATGTTAATAATTGTTAATAATGTAAAGGGAGTTCCCAAAAGGAAAACTAAAAACAGGAAAAAATCTCTCCCTCCTTTTCTTTAACCTTGTCACAAATATACAAAAGAAATCATGAAGGAAAGTCAAGATTCTGATAGAAAATTTAAAATTACCTTCATATTACATGAAGGAGCCTATATGTCTGAGAAGAGGGAAATGCAGTTTGTGCTCAGATGGGAAATGAACACAACAATGTTTTGTATGTGATTGAAATCTGGGAGGTAATTGGACTTGCATTTCCTATAACAAATATAAGTGGCAGCAAAAGATAAAGAACTTTTAAACACTGATATCTGAGGCTCAACAATTTTGAAAAATAAAATAGGTTGACTAACATTTTAAGTGGATAAAATCATAAAATTAAGAATAAAAAATAATCCCAAGATTGCAGAAGGAAAAATTCATGGGCATCCACAGTTGAGAAATTATCTTTATATAATACCTGCACAAATAATTTTAGAGCAGCCAATTCCCCAATAATTCAACCCATAATGTATTCTCTACCTGACCCTGACGATTTTTCTTCAATATAAAGCACTAACCTTGGCAACAGTCATTATATCGTTAAACTGTGTTTTCAGTTCCTCTTGAGCTGCTTCCCTGAAAGTCGCATCCTCAGTCTTCTGGTAGAGCTCCCTGGACTTGGCAGTGAGGCGGTTTAGGGCTTCGGTGTGATCCTCTCCCTCGGAGACAATGGACTGAAAGTGGTCCAGAAGGGAGAACTTCTCTTTCAGCCCTGGCTGTGGTTTCAGGGGATGCTCTACTTTTTGATCCACTGATTCCATCCACTGCTCCAACTGGTTTTTACACTCTAGGTAGTCATTCCATTGGCTAATCACAGACTCTAAAGTGCTAGAATTAACATTATAAAAATAAGTTATTTTGACATCTCTACTGGAAGCCAACTAGGAGGGCATTGCATCCATGTAAGCTGTCTTACTGAATGCTACTGTAAGTGGTGAGGCTGCTGCTTTTAAGGGCAGGGAGAAGCACTATTTTTCTGACCCACATCACAGTTTCTTCAAATGAGAGTGAATCCGTGTCAAAATTTGATTAAGATGTTGTAGTTATATATGCACCTGGAGATTTGATTTCCAAATAATAACTGTGCTAAATAAGTACGCAAATGTATGGGTTGTATTGTTAAAAATAAACACTGGGGCATCAATTCAATTTAATATATATAAATTCTTAATTTTCTTGGACTCAGTTTATCATTAAAATCAGATGTCAACTATATATTGACTGGAATTTAAAATTTAGGGTAATCTTCTTGGCTAAGTAATATACTAGATTGATTTTCACTAACGGATATAGATGCACAATGTTTAGTGTTGAATGCATGAAGGAATGAAGGCTAAATGTATTTATAATACAAGAAATATAATCACAAATGTAATAATCAACCAAACAGCTCTCTAGATAGTCAAGAAAAAAAAGGCTCTCTAGGCTGGCATTCTAAAATTTTAAAGTATTCAGATCTAAAACTATTCTAAACTCATCTTTAGTGACCCTTCCCAGCCTCTGTTGCATACAATCTTGTAATCCTGGAATTATATCTATTGGAGATGTACTTCCAGCATTTGCTCAAATTGTTTCTTTTGCATCAATAGGAACCTCATCATACATGCTGAAAGTCTTATTCTTTCCTCAAATAGTTTTCTAGAATCTCCAAATCAATCTCATCTCCCCAGAAGCAACCCCAGCCCCAGCCTTCTTCTACAGCAGGGGTGGGGAACATCCGAGGCCTGTGAAATCATTTGGCCTGGCCCTGCCAAGGCCTCACCAAAGAAAAGCAAGCAGTTCCAGGCATCACATCAGGGGTGAGTTAATTGAATGTTTGACCAAATACAGCAGGCTAATTTTTACGCTGATAATTCTGTATGGCCCTCAAATGATATTATAAATATCCAAATGACCCTTGGCAAAAAAACAGTTCCCTACCCCTGTTCTACAGTTTTATACAGTCTTAGTAACACAATCTGAGTCAGAGTTTTTCTGGAGTGTACCCTACCTTAGCCTCCCAGCACTTAGAGGGTAAAAAGTACTTTGTTTTGTTTCATTATTTTAGCACAGAAAAAAATAATCACAAAACAAAACAAAAAACCTCTGCAATTACCCACTGCAATTTGAGCATTGCTACCGCTCAATATGTAGTTGTCAAATTTAATTTCTTGCTGAAAGAGAAGAACCAAGTATTTGAATCTACTTTTTGTATTTAACATTTTATTCTAACATCCGAAAAATATTCACCCATGTTCCTGTTCACTTTTACCAAGCTGGCCTATTGCCAAGCATTGGGAAACCTGGTCTACTATATAAAAAGTAGAATCACAGGATCTGATTTTTTTTTCCTTTGCTAACCAGTTTGAGTTATTACTAAGATTCAAAATCCTGCTGACTTTGGGAGTTACTGCCGATGCTCCATATTAAAGGAAAAAACAAACCAAAGCAAAATACAACCTCCCAAATTGTAATTGAAACCATGGTTCATTTTTGCATCGCAGTGGGCAATTGCAGTTTTTTTGTTTCGTGATGAATTTTAATTTTTTATTTATCTATTGATTTTGATCACAGTGAGAACACACTTCTTTGGTGATCTGACAGTATATAGGGTAACCACAATATGTGTACACACACTTTGAATAATCATAAAGGCCATGTTTATTAAAATACATTTCATTTCCAAAACTGAGCTATCAACTGTTACAGCGTGTATACATTTTGGGGGGACTCCCTGTATATAGCCTTCAGAATATGGCTCCTGGAATGTATTTTAATATAATTCTGACTGATGGTCATTTGTCCAACAAGCCAGCCAGATTATTTGTGGAGACTCTCAGGAGAGGGAGGAAGGTAGAAATCTTCCACTCATAAATATAACAGCAACAACACCTACTGTAACAACCAGTATCTTCTCTACTTTCTCAGCAGCCCCTGTGCAGTGCTTCTCACCAGGGCTCTACAGGCATCCTGGGTGGGTTCACTGTTGCTTGTGTGGGAATGTCCCACACATTGAAGGACACTAGCTCTCCTGGCCTCAGCCACTAAGTTCCAGGGATGCCCCATCCCTGTTACAGTCAACCCCCCCTTCCACTCTCAATGTGGGTGATATTACTTTGGGTTGAGAAAAAGATTTATACTTAAGTTCCACAGTTGCCAACAACTTAATTTCCCTAATGTGTCATTAAAAAGTGAAAACATATTGAAGTTATTCAAGACCATGTATCCTTGCACTGATGACTTGAAAGGGAGTATTTTACTGTGCCCAAGTTGTAAGCAAAATTCTATGAGATATTATGGGAGATGTAAATACTACACACACACACACACACACACACACACACACACACAGCAAGCAAACAAACAAAACCAGTCTTTGCCATTACAGAAAATACAATCTAGGCAAAGACAAAGTAACATACAGCGAGCTGAAATCACATGCTTGGTCACTCTATCACAGGGTGTCATGGGCACTGCTCCATCATTCTACTAAGCTGCTGGGCTTTATTTAGGGAAGTAAACACTGGAAGTGGGCTGTGTACCTCTGGGCATTGACGGAGGAGGTCATGATGTTGGCCCACACATCTGTGAGGGTCTGTAGCTGGGTCTGAATCGCCTTCTGACCATCTTCGTTGCTACTTCTCAAGGCCTGTTCCCCTTTGCCAATGGCCATATTCAACTTCACTTCTCCCTCACCTCGCATCAGGAGAATATCCTAGAAAAGAAGAGTGAATACGTGTCAGTAGAGATATAAAGTCTTCTGATATTTTAAAAAACAATGACGCTTCCCATGAGAATCAAGGTAGGGAGTATCTTACTCACCTTAAAAACAAAATAGCAACAAACAAGATACACCGAGGGACAAAATAGGACAGAGGCCTGGATACATGGAGCAGGCTGGCAGGTGTCAGAGGGGAGGGGCTGGGGGACTGGAAGAGATCAGTCAAAGGACATATGTTCATAGATTCATAGCCCATGGACACAGACAACAATGTGGTAAAGGCTGGGGCAGGGGTGGAGGGGAGCAAAGGAGGGAAAACGGGGGACATCTGTAGTAGTGTCAACAATAATAAAAATGAAAACAGCAACAACAACAAAGTCTGGACTTTACTGCAATATAATACTTGAATTAAACATTAGAGATCTGGGAGTCTGGGAGTAAGGATTAACTCCAATTTAAATTCTTGGGAAACCTTGGGCTACTTGCCCAGGCATTGTAACTTCACTGAAATTTGGCTTCAGAGTAAAAAGGAACTATTTTGAAAATGAGAACACTCTTGTCAAAAGCCTAACAGTCCCCTTCCTTCACTGCCTGGCTAATTTCTGTCTTTCAAGGTCACCTTCACTGACTGCAGTCTGGGCAGGTGGTCTCCTTTGTGCTTCCCACCCACCCCTGCTGGCTTCAGTCAGGCCCCTACATACATGTTGTACTGCAAGTGACAATTACAGTTGGTCCCTCCCACTGACTTGAACTCCTAGAAAGCCAGGGCTAATTTTTATTGTTATATCCCCAGCAACTTGCATAGTGCTTGGAGTAAGGTAGGTATTTATTTCATAACATTTTCTTAATGTTTAATAAGTAAAATTTAAAATTATTTTAAAGCTATTAAAACAAAAATATTCCTTTCCATTACAAAGGGAAAAAATGATCCCCTTCAAATCCATTTTGCCCAATTGCTCCATTTCACCCACCTAATCGTCCTTCAGAGAGAGGCTCACAGAGTGATCAGGCCCAACTCAACCATTTGTGAATCTATCACATCAGTCCTCAGGCACGGGAGTGTCTGGCGGGAGCCGCGTACCTGTATCTGTAACAGCCGTTTTTCCAGGGTGTCTCTGCTTCCCACGGTGCTGTCTGCACAGGCCAGCTTGTCCTGCACGCCCCTCACCCAGGCCCACATGCTCTGCAGGGCTTCCTCCAGTGCTTCGTGCTCCTGCAGGGCCACCTGGAAGCCCCGCAGCTTCTCCTTGGTCATCCTGACCAAGCCCTGGTAGTTGGTGAGCAGCTGCGAGCACAGGCGCCCTTCTTTCCCTGCACCGTGGCCTTCCTCGCTGAGCAGCTGCCCTCGCTGGGAGAGCTTGTCTAGAGACTCTCTAAAAAAAAAACAACCAGAAAAAAATTAACTCAACTTTCTGGAGTGCCAGGGAGTGACAAAGGTTTGTTGATACTGGAGCAGTCACCAGACAAAAGCTCACAGCTGACATGCCTTTAAAATGAAGAGCCTGGGGTGGGCCCTGGCACTTGCTTCTCCTACAGTTTCTCCAAGCGTAGTTAATACCCATCCAGGGACGTGATTTAATCCATGCCCTGCCTAGATCCAAGCCCAGTGCATCCCGAGGAATTCACTTCAGAAAGGACCAGCCTGCCTCTCCAGCCACCTCCAGTATCTCTCCATTCCCATCGAAGGCTCTAATTATGAGCAGCTTGTGGAAACACCCGCAAGCCTCAGCTGTTTTATACATACACAGAGGCTCCTCCTGTGAGAAAACCCTTCTGCTCTCCTCTGCTTCCTTTCTAGCTGCCCCTTTCAAAGCTCAGTGCAGGTGTCCCATGCCTGGGAAGCAGGATGATGGCTGCGGAGAGGGCGGAGAGGGTGAGG